AGGTTCGATGAATGAACGATAATGTAAAATAAGCATACAAGTAACGGTACTGTTGAGCGACCCGCCAAAGAACCCTGAAAGCTTGTTTTTTCAAGTTTAGCCGTCGATGCGATAGATATAGACAAAAGAGAGGGAAGCCTTTAAAAAAAAACACAAAGTAAGCATTTGTCCTGCGTTCACAAGCTGCCGAAGGCTACGTAGCTAACATTTTACGATCAGTATGTAGCTGAGAGTTGGAAGGATCCGACTCACTAACTCAGAACCACATCACAAACCTATGCAGCCACAAGAAGTTAGCCTATTCCTAACTTGAATAAAGAGAAAATAGCTTAATGACGCCACGAAGGCGTGTCCAAGCCAGACAAGGCCGCTAGTTAGAGAACACGGTAGAGTCTTTGGTGCTGGTCTTCGTGTGCCTGGTCGCCTTCGAAGTAGCTGGCTCGCATACCGGCGAAAGGTTTGGGAAATTGCCTTATTCTAAACCTTCTGTCGGTGTAATAAGAGCAAGCAAACGTGCCTTAGTGCCACCACCAGTTCCAACGTCCTTAGGTAGCACCGACTGACTACTATCAGAGGAGACTAGAAGACTTTCGAGTCAAGGTCTCTCATGACCCACTAGGACTGTCTCTCTGAATGAAACAGAACGATGTCTATCACCTGCGCAACTTCACCACGGTTGCCGTGGCTGTCGGTTGCTTTCGCTACTCCACCTTCTACGGCAACATGCACACTACATACGTAAGCATACCTCTACGAGCTGGTACATGTTTGTGGGTTCTATACTCCAGCAGCAGCAGCAGTTCCGGAAAAGGAATACGAAGAGAAAAACGATGAGGCGGCGCTTTCCATCGCGTTATGGGGTATTGCCACTCCTGTCATTTCCGCTAACCTAAGCTTCTGTAAGAAAGTCGCGGTATTCGGTGGCAGCGAACTCACCTGTAGTTCTTCTGCGAGTCGGTTCTACTTGCCTGCTAGCTAGCTCTTTCCGCTATCACCTTTTGAGTATCCCGTTCGTGTCTGTGTAGTAAAGCTTAAGAAAGACACACTATTTTTAGCCATGCGCTGGCTGAGCTGGACTGACTGTTTGTTCGACTCGTTCAGGAACATAGATATGGCTTAGGAATCGCTCCTGGCCAGCTAGACAAGCATAGCAATTACCAGGTCTCTCTCACCTGGCAGCTACGAGGTGTCTCAAAGCCAGCGCTAACTAAAGTTACCAGGGCTTCTCTTGGCTCTTTGTAGCTAAGCCTTAGTTTTTTTCAGAATCTCTCTCCCGTACCCTATATTTTCGTTCTATGGGCTGCTATTGAATCTTTCATCCCTAACAGAAATTGGGAAAGAGAAAAAAACAGCTAACTTCTGCTTTTCACTCCGTGAGAGCCGCGTCACGGCCGTACCGTTTTCCTGCGATCCCTTTCCTCTAGCTAAGTCTGCCATTCGCTGATGGGGGTCTATCTGGAGAAGAATTCTCCTCACCTGCTTACTAGCTGCGAAAGGCTGCTCTTGCGACTTCTCTAAAGCTGGAGGCCATAGTGTAACCGCTGCTAATGCAAGTAGCAGATTCGGGCACCCACCTGACAGGGGAATTTTAGAAATCCCTTCTTATCGCCAGCTCGCACTGTGTACACAAGCTGTACAGCCAGCTGCCCGATAGAGAGCAAGGCCTTAGATCTTCCTATAGCCCCCAACCCCATTCATTCATGTTTGCCCTTGCGAGTATTTTGGATATGCTACTTTTAGCCTCAGCGTCCAACCAAACCAGTCGGCTTGCAGTTATTCTGAGCGTTTCGTTCACTCGCCGCAGCCATAATAGTAAGCGCAGCAGCAGTCGCGACTTCTGTGCCATCACAGCAGTTTCAGGCCTCTTATAACTGTTCGGGAGGCAGATAGCAGTAACAACAGGTTTCGATGGCAATCGTCCCTTTTCAATCGGCCGGGTTTTTCTGTCAGTTAATTTTTGTTAGGCATACGATCATACGTACGCCGTCGCTGTCGCCGCTCACAGGAATTTTTTTTTGAAGAATGACTAAACGCACAGAGACGCGATTTAGTTAGGTCACCTTATTTTCATCATACTAGTCGGTCCTACTAGTCATGCACGATGGCGGTGGAAGTAGCGGGCAAGAAGAACTATAGGGTTTGGAGCTTTCTCGCCTTTGACTGGGTATCTAACTCGCAGCCCGCTTACGTGTGTAGGCTTGCCCCGGTCTGCCTGCACACGATATGTAAGATAAGATGGAATGAAACAGAATAGGACAGCCAAAGCCACAGCTATTACTTAGATCGGCAGTTAAATACTGCACCAAAAGGTCCACGCCACGATGATGGTATCGCATGCATTAAAAGCGCAGCGAATAGTAGCATCCCACAGCATCGCCACTTCTGCCTTTCGCTGTGTGTCGCATCGTATGCTGAGAAAGTCCAGCTGGCCGAGTCGGTTCAACAAAGGCTATTTAGCTACCGCACCTAATCAATATGGCTTGCTACTGTAATTAGGTGGAACCTTAAAGCACCGGTACGCGTCAGGCAGGATTCTACCAACGAGGTACTATAATACTAGACGCATCAGTTACCGCCGAAATCGATGCTAAAGATGGGCGCGTTACAAAAAATATGGAAAAATAGCCGGGGGACACAAAGCTCGTCAGTTAGATAAAAACACTTGGCTTCCGTCGGCGCAGCAATTAAAATAGGAAAGCAAATAGGAAAATGCTGACGTAAGCTCTGAAACTGTAAATACCTGCTATGTGTATGTTAGGGGGTAGACGTTACGAGATAGAAGCAGTCAAACGGAATAGTCAAAATAGCATGGAGGACAAAGCAAACGCCATTAAGGTACTGTGAGTTTGAGTGTAAATTCAAGAAATTCATTTATCTGTCAATCTATGCGTTAATCTATGCGTGTTTGTCCATCAGAGAATGCCACAGGCGAAACAGTACGCAATAGAACGATGTATATAGATTTTGTTATACCTTCACGTTGCCAACATATATTATTCGCGACCAATAACGCCGCGTCCGCGCTTGATTCGTACCCATGCTAACGACTCAGGTAGGCGGTGCCTATCTTTAGCAAAATGTTATCCTTATACCTCTCAAACAATGTTCCTTTCCACCTTACACATGCGACATGATATGGCGACGCTTTTGCGCTCTTACATAGAGATACAATGTAGTTACTTCGCTGTTCTATAACAGTGTTAATGAAGGCAGCAGCAACGACCTTGAAATTCTCGTTTTGTTCGTTGTTTGTGTTACTGGCGACAACAGATTTTCAGTATCTGCAGTGCATGACACCGATGTTTGTCGCATCGTCGGTCTTTCTATCCGTTAGCGCTTAGCCGATTCTAACAATCAATAGGCAGCAATGTTTTCCGTCCTCTATCGCCTCTTCTCTGTGATCCCATCGACAGCTGATGAAAGACATGTGTAGCCGTCGGTGCGTGCCGTTGCGCGGCGGACTGCGAACGAAGCAAATGCGGCCCCATCTTGGAAATTGCGAAGAAGTGTACACAAGAAAGGCTAAAAGATACCGAGGATTACAGAGTGCCCTCTTTCCGTCTCAGCACGTGACGCTGACGTCAGTCTGTTGTACATTCTACACTATGCCAGGCATAGACGTGTTCTTGGTAAATAGGCGTGGCTGTGTTAACTTAGACACCGCATTTATTATGAAAGAAATTTTCGCGTATGGCAGCCGTCGGAAAGCCAACAAGTCGAACAGGCCTTGGCTGGTCCGGATATCTTATGGTAGACGTCCTACTATTCGATAAGTATATAGACGGAGTAGTATCACAAAGATGAGCAGGAAGGGCAGCCTTGTAGAGAGAGCGGAAATAACTGCGCTGGTTTGCGCTGCATTGTCCTGCGATCGTGACGTAACGACATTATGCTCTTCTATACTTGATAGCGAGGACAAACATAGACGGGCCTTAGCGGTCAGTCCTTGTGTCATTAGAGTCAGCGCTGACCGCAGAAGCGACTACCCCAGCTGCCCCCAGTTGAACCTCAACAGAAACCATGGAAACTTCAGCAAAAGTCTAGCAGGATCCAAGGGAGCCACAGCGGAATCTTATTGGTCGTGGATGAAAAGGCACGATTAGAGTTAATAATATGGTAATATGCTAGTGGCCGCTTGACGGTAGATATAACGCCACATAAGGGCCCAGGAACAGCGGTATGTAACGCTGCGCGAAGTGAGCAGGGAAAACAATAATAATAATCTCTTTAAGCATCTCAGAACAACCGAAGCGGGGCGAAGAATACACTTCTGTTACCCGGGGATTCCATTATGTTCATCCCAGCTATGTATGCATAGGGTATGAGCAACAGCTTCATAGCACTTGTTGTACGAGGCAAATTGACCTAGGTGTGGGGGAATACTGTTTATTCTTAACGCTGTTCTTCGAAAACGATATCCACTGACACTAGCTAGACTTCAATGTCAATATCCCTCAGACATATGCACGAGTATTGTTTGTAAATAATAAGACTTGGAGGGCAAAGGAAATATATTGCTTTTTGTGGCGGTGATTATATTCAGGTTTTTGTGTAAATTCACCAAAAATTAGCCTTAATCTGTATTTACTCATTGCTTCAACAGCGATCTTCTTCAAATTCGCATTAGATATGAAATGTTATAGTCCGTGTTTTGTAGTGAAAGGAACCAATGCGATCGAGGCTATAGGCAACGAAAGTAATACCCGCCTTATCAGAGCGTCGTTCCTCAATGAAGCCTGTCACATTCTTAATTCACACCACCTATCCTTGTAATCTCTTTGTATTCGTACTGATTTAAAATCACCTCATGTTATCTCGTTTCACTGGCCCTAACAGACAGATTAGATATTGTTTTTGAGATCGCACTGGGTGTTTTGTATCAGAAAAAGGTCAGTTTTCCCAGGTACATCGAAAATGATTGCATTGACACAATGACCTGCTTGCCAAGTATCATTTCTTTCTTTTCTATGTTTTTCTGTTCACTTTGCTCCACATGGTAGTTCGTCGACTATTAATGATGGGCGTTTCTCCTGACTCGACGAACGAGGACGGATTGACAGCGTTGCATCAATGCTGCATCGACAACAACGAAGAGATGACGAAGCTGCTGGTCGAGTTTGGTGCCAACGTGAACGCCAAAGATTCTGAACAATGGACGCCACTACACGCGGCCGCTACCTGCGGACACCTGCACTTAGTCAAGTATCTTATACTCAAGTAAGTACCGCATAAAATAATGGCATGTTACGACCGAGGACTAAAAGGTTATACCAAGTACTTACTGGAACGCCACATTAACGTACTACGTTGTAAGTTCACAATGCTACACATTTCTTAGTCACTTTGACGTTTGCTTTCTTTTTTTTTTGCCGATAAATACATTTTTAACTTTCGGCTATGATAGATAGCTAAAAAAAATGGCTAAAAAGCAAGGCAGTCTCAAAGACGAGGAAAATCTGGGTGACTAAGTGCCTTTCCTTAGATGTCCGTATGATGTTCGTACTCGTGCCTATCAGTATCTGTTTGTACAGGGAATGGCAGCCGGTGACGAAAAACAGAACGGTCATCCATCTTTAGAAAGTGATAAATTTTTTGCGATTATTATCGGTCATTTCTCTGAGCATCAGCTTCATAGAGCAGGTCGTTTCTGAAGCATGGCACACTCTCGATGAGTCCATGAAGGGCAAAAAAGGCCGCTGAAGAGGCAGAAAAAATAGCGGCTGTTGAGAGTGTTTAAGTGCTGCTGAGGCTACGTACCGATTTTTGGCTGTTGTTTTGGCTGTCAACTATGATACGGTTAGATACGAATCTCCGCGCTCAAAATGATGTGTATAATGAGAGTCCGTTGGCTATAAGGCTTTCGTTACAGGCCGCTTCATTCGATATTGGTACGTTCTTACGTTTTACAAATCAAACAGCACGAACGTTAGGTAGGCAGAATGTCTTACCTATGCTAAATGGATTGAGACAAAAGCAGCAGAGTTAAGAGTACGTGTACAGAATTCGTATTCAATCCTGAAGGACCACAACAATATCTGCAAATTATTTGGCTATGATAACGATAACTTTAATTCAGTGTTTTGTCCAAGTGAACCTTTTCCCACTCAGCCTATCAATCCAGCCTACTCTCGCCGAGATCAAAGAGGCACACTGGCGAGGCACACTGGCATAATTTCAAATCACTCGTTCAATACAGGTACAGGTAAAATTATTTCGAATAAAAGTACATAGGCAGGTTTATCTATTGATATTGGACAGATCAATTGTAGCTCGGTGTCATCTTCTTCTATTGTTCGAGTCGATTCCGCCTTTTGATCGTAACTTCATTTCCTACAGCTCTTTGTATATAAACGCAGCTGCACCCAAGACATCATCACTGAATTGTTCCTCACCATACACTATTATTATTATTATTGCCAATACGGACACTACCGGTAACCTAATCGTTACCCTGATCATATAAATAGTAGATCTCTTACTGCTTCTATAATATCTGTTTTTTGAGACACGTACAAAAATCAGTATTTTCATTATCTTGCTGCTGTTGCTTGTATTGCAAGCTTAGGTTGCCTGCGGTTCATCCTTTTCAGTTAGCCATGGAGCTGCTGCTCTCTTGTCACAACAGACCCCCTAGAAGCAGTAGGATTCGAAGCAAAACTAAAAGGGAGGTGTATGCAGACGACGAAGAGCACCCCCTCTTATCACCACTAGCCGGCATAGAAAAAGACACTAAGTACACTATGATGATGGCTTACGTGGGGTTGTCCTCGAAAGCGGTGCTTCCAAGGGAGGCCTCGACGAAAGACTAGATAACAAAGTGAACGTTGAAAACGCTGATGGTCATGGCGGTAATAATGATGATGTTAATATGAGTCTTGGGAAGAAAATTCCCTTTCGTAGAATATTTCTTCCATTGTCGTTGTTGTTATTGATGCTACCCGCGTTGCAGCTGGTCGCTGCGGCTGTAACAAATGCGTTGATTTTTATTAGGCAAGAGGTTGGCCTCGTGCCTGCTTAACTTGCTGGCAAGTTGCCGGCTGTGTCCTGCTGCCGTCGCAAAGGTCTTGTCCCGACAGCAACTTAACTTTGCTTTTGGCCGCCAGCAAATCGCCTGTTTAGACCTTTCGGACTTCCACGACATGCGTTACGCTACGCCATCTGCACAGTTGTCTCAAATAGAGCTTTCAGCCACTTTTCGACGAACTGAGTCCTCTACGTTTCATCCATACTCCCCCTTTCTGTTCCTGTCACCCCCTTACCGGTCCAATGCGGGGAAGTTTTATGTTCGTACGCACCGGGGCTACTATTCACAGACACAAAGCGAACGCTTTCAACTTTTCGAAGCTTTGCTGCAATGCTAACGCTGTTCTAATTGTCGTATCTACGGCTATAGCTGCTAGCAGCGCGATGACAATAATTACAACAGTAACGCTAAGATCGCTGTAAATGAAGGTGGTGCCAGGCACAAATATTAAACGTCGGTGCGCAGAAATGATTCAGATGCTTGAAGGTAACATAATAGCAGGCACAAAGCCACATATTGAAATCGAGGCGGACCATTGACACCTTCGGCTATCCTCGAATACTGAGTTGAAGACAAACCTTTTGAGAGTTCTAGCAACGAGCGGTTGGCTAGCGGGCGATCAGCTAACTGTGCTGTGTTTACGTTCGGGCAGACAAAGAAAAGTATCTAGGCCAAGGTCAGAAAGATAAGATGGATTACATTCAAGAACATGGTAGCATTAACCTTAGTAGCAGCAATAGTGGTCTGAGTAGTATGAGTGAAGCCCTTGTCTGACGTTAAGCTATTCTTTTACTCGAACCCATCTAGCATGGCCTAACCTTTAGTTGCTTTAAAAATAATGGCAAATGATTTTACCGAAAAAGGCTGAAAATATTCCAAGGGAGGGGAAACTCTAGAACTCGAAGTAACGTTACGTCGCCTTGTTTTGATAAGCCCCGGGAGGTCGCTTTGATCCGTGCCGCCGCTCGGGCTAATTAAAGGTCTCGTTTTGGGTGATGAAGACTTTCGCTGCTTACACGCCGACAACCTGCTACATCCTTCACCTACAGCATTTGTTCCCGTCCTCCGCTTTTTTCGGTCCTCCGCTACGTTTCGACCTAGTCCTTGCTTCCTACCCCAGGCTCCACGATCTTCATACCGACTCGCGGTCTCTGGTTCCAACGGCGTCGTGAATTTCGATGACTCTTGGCCATTTCCAAGTCCATTTCCCTAGTCGTAACATTTCCAACTTCTGGATCTGGTCTCTTTCTGAAAAAGAAGAGAGACTGTCGCCATGTTGGCCTGAGAGGCCCTTTTTTGAACAAGAAAAGTAGATTGAATTTGAAAGCAGGAAAGGAGTTTATAGGCGAGAAACATATAGACAGAAGAAAGAGGCCATGAAGCGAGAAAAGAGTTGAGTTTCGCTTTATATCGAGACATTCGTTAAGTGCTTCTTTAATCTGATACAATCTGGATGAGATAGAATATGATTTTCTGTTTATATGTGTACACATATATAAATCTGCTTGTAGCTTGGATATAGAGTGATGAATTGTACAGAGAGAAAATAAAAATCGATCCTCCTGTTATTAGGTCTTCAAAGTCGTTACGTTTTGTTCAATCAAGCTGAATATAATGTTTGTGTACTATACATAGAGGATTGATGTTTTTATAAAAAACAAACGATTCAATAAAGCCAGGTAAATATATCCAGCGTTCATTCAGGTATATTCGCAATAGGTTAAAACAGTGGTGCAGTTGATAAGCGCCGAAAGACACAGGCTGATTTTAGGCGTTCGTTACGACCGGAGAGTTATGTGCATAAATGGAATCAGCGCCATCTGGTCTTCATGTCTTTGAGGTAGTCTCAGCTAGCTGAAGTCGTGTAGAATGGAAGGAATCCTTGTCCTTTTGTTTGATCTGGTCATTTTAACTTATTCGCAGATCCAGAAGATAGTGTGGAGTATGGATGCACAAATCAACATTATAATGTTAAAACACATTGGGCTGCGTGCATGAGCGTTAAGTGGGTAAAAACCTTGTTTATTGTGTATTCACTCGGATCAAACGTTAAGGCCTTTGATTAAATAAAACTATTCTGGAAATGGCCTCCTGTGGGGAGGAGCAACACTTGAATTCACTGAAACATACACAGCTGCCATTGCAGTTTCAAACCAGACCGCCGTATCCGGTAGTAGTGTTTGTTGAACGATCTATGTATCGAATTATATTTGAATGGTGGTTCCGTGACACCGTGCTAGCTATGCATGCATACAGACTACGAGTAACTTCATTTCGGCCGAATAGAGAAGAAACTTCACGCTGCTTCTGTACATTTGCTAGATGCGATTTTCCATGAGAAGGCTTACCATAATCAAGTGTTTCATACTGACGCTGTTAATCCTTTTCCCGACATGCGTGGCTGATTTCTGTCTGGTACCGTACCAGCTGCTATAGGACGAAACAGTAAATGTTCCCATGCAATATATAACATGCGGCGCATCGTTAACTATATGGCTAACTACAGCATATAGAGAATTTAATCACTTCGTAAGACCACACGATCACTGCAGCACGTACGCAATAGGCGCTGAACTACCTTTAGGGTTATCTAATTAATGGAGATGTGCCTCTTTATCGAGGAACACAGAAAAAAATAGGTCCTAATTATGTAAATTATGCGGCGTGAACACGAATGCATTTGCAGACGTGAGCTAGGATTTCTTAAGCAATACATTTCGCGTATTAGATTAAATGTTTTTCGCAGCTTACGTCTGGATATTTAAGCCCTTTAAATGTTTGGGTTCGAAAACGAAGTGTGTCTATGGTTGGGTCCAAAATCACCACGATTTTTTTTTCTAAGTTTAGTAGGTCAAACGCATTACTGACTGCACTATGACGGGGACGTATATATTTGCTTAGACTTCCTTAACTTCATCAAACTGATCGAGCGGAAGCGATGGGTAAATTTTCAAATTTCTTTTATTTGTAAGTTTTGTCCACGGCTGTTGCCAAGGTTGGCAAATATTTCCTAGTAATCGAAATTACCACTACTAGAAAAATGTAGAAACGATTCCGGTATAATATGCACTACTGCTTCGTGCATATATATATATATATATATATTCCATGGCCACCCGTCATATTCAAAACCGTCTTCAAGCAAGAATTTCTAAACTATGACTAAAGAAAATAACATTCGGCCTGCATCGGTTCTCACTAATTCAATGACGAGCAAATACAATTCATATGCTACGACCACTGGAGCTAATACTGTGTATTAATTGTTTTTTTCATTCCCTGTGGTCTCGTATCCCGTCTTCCTGTCGTCCCGCTATTGCGACGAACCCCAACTGACTTTGCCATCCGCCGGGCTCACCTGTGCGGGTGAATCGTAAATCGAATATTGACAACTTTCATTAATGCTACCAACAAAACGACACCATATCGTCCATCTTCATCCGCCCACACCTCTGTTGGTGGCGTTTCCTTTAGAGGGGCAGATCTGCTATCAGTGAACGCGGATGGCAATATGCCTTACGACATCTGCGAAGACGAGCCGACGCTGGACCACATCGAAACGGAGATGGCAAAACGAGGGATAACCCAGCATACGATTGACACGACGCGAGCTGCAGCTGAAATGCACATGTTGCGCGAACTTCGTGAACATCGACTCAATGGAGTAGATCTCGATTGGCGGGACGAGCAACTTGCTACACCAGTATGGCTACATTGATAAATCAATGTATAAGCATCAGTTATTATGATCTAGCGTTATGTGTGATGCTCAAATTCCTGTTTGTCTCTATTATTTGGAAAATCCTATTGGGTCCTGTTTAGGTATAGGCGCATTTCCCCTTTGAAAAGGGTTCAAGCAATACTAGTTAAGTATAGCATCTTGGCGAAGCCTATCTCATGTCGACCGAGTACAAAGACATTTACAGTAATCAAACGTGTTCACGGAACCTTTTAAACCTAACTGTGTTTTATCATAGTAATGGGTATTGTCAAAAGTACTAGCTGTGAAATACGTTACGCCTGGAATGAGAGAGAGGATGCTGTGTGATGTTTCAGAGGTAAAATTCTCTTTAGGTCTATTAATATGCGTCCGGCAGTAGTCATCGGTAAAATATTTACTCTTCACAGACTGAATTAAAGCCATTGTCAACCTAAAATAAATGACGAGTATGCGATATAAATAATCCTATTGAAGTTACTTGCAACCATTCCCTTATTTTCAATATAGCTATTCCAACACGTGCCCGTTTTTACGTAGGACCAAATTTCATTTTTCTCCTTTAATCTTTATTTTTGAATAGCTTCATATTGCTTCAGCTAACGGATATATATCAGTGGTGGAATTTCTTCTGGAGAACGGAGTCGCAACGGATGCAGCAGATTGCGATCTATGGCAGCCAATTCATGCTGCCGCCTGCTGGGGACACGTAAGTTTTTAAAATATGAAAAAATCGCTCGGCTTATACAAAAGATTGCTTCTTCTCCAAAATATCGTAAACAAATCAGTATCCGCGGCACAAAATACAGGTAAACCGAACATTACACGCAGATAAATTCATAACAAATAACATTCATTTCTAATCTTGACTTTAATCAATCTTATTGTAACAACGAGACAAATATTCATTTTGTCCTTTTTTCCTCCGTTGCCGTCAGTTTAGTCCGCTACCGATGGTGATCACCTGTGTGTTTCGTTACAAACATTTAATTTTCTTGTTTCCTAGGATTTGTACTTCTTAGGACTCAACTACAGCTCAATATCATAATGGTTTAAATTTTAGCACCAGGTGATGGACACAGAATGCGGCTTGCAATCCGACTGTCGCATTCATTCAGAGGCCACTCGCTTGGCTTCACGTCACCAGTTGACTCCTTCTGTGTTTAATTGAGGAGGCATGTTTTGTCCTATTTGTTGCGCGAACCAGAAAAAGCAGAAAACACCTTTTTCCTCCCTGTAAGGGCATTGGATCGAACTACGGGACAACAGTCAGTTAGATGGAGATATATATAGATGGAGATAGATGGATACCCTTTTTTCGTCTTCAGTATTGGGGCTTCCTCTAAAAAGGCCAGCTTGGGCCGGTGGAAAGCGCTGGGAGACAGTTCTTTTCTTCGTACCTCTTTTCCTGCAGTTGCGCATGCATCTTCTCTGCATGGAGTCGGATCTATTCGGCTCGGTCCCGCTGATACGGAACAACCAGCAAAGGCGTTGTTCACGCCAAGTGACTCTCCATACTTAAAATCGAACAGGAAAGCATACAGGAGACGGCATCGATATGTTTGCCGGGCGTACCCATTTTCTCTGCAAATGCCCAGCGCGCCAAACGAGTACGTTCACCTAGAGCAAACCCGCCTGAGAGGATTTCGCGGGAAAACTGTCGAAAAATGTCTCTCGGAAAAAGGGTTCAAGACTGATTAAACATGGCACTTGTCCATGTGAGGGTGGGGTGCCCCCTGTGTGAACCACGTCGGGGGAGGGCACACGCTATAGGTAGAGTGGAAGGTAGAGCGGAAGGACACATCCTATGTCGCGATATTGAAAAGAGACTAGGACTACCTGAGAGGGACATAGCTTACATCAATGGTAATGAACGTCGACAAACGTCCTATACTATAAATACGCTGGTATGTTTATAGCTTTAGAGACTTTTCGAAACAAAGAGAAGTACCTTCTTGAAAAGTGCGAAGCAACAAAGAAAGGGGAACTAGGCGATAATGGCTTGAGCTTTGTTTATTGGAGATACAAAAAGAGACGATGAAAGGTTTAGGGATGGAGAAATAGAACAAAAGACGATGCATTTGACGTTACACATAAACATGTACATAATTTCCAAATGTTCTATTATTGTATTACCTATTTAGACTGGCTGACACATTAACAAGAACTATAATATGATTATTTTCATACGACTCTCACATTCAGTGAAGTTAACGGTGAACTTTTCTATTCTGTCACCTATATTCTAATACCGTACATGTCGCTTAATAAGACTCCTATTTAGAACTGCTGTAATCGTGACGATAGATTAAGTCTTTTTTTCTTTTCTTTTCCGTTCTATCTTTTTTCTCACATTCACTTATAGCCCGACGTAGTTGAACTCTTGGTGCAATCAGGAGCAGACCTTAATGCCAAAACGAAAAACGGTGAAACCCCATTCGGTAAGCAAATCATTTGTCATACGACCGCCGCTAATGCCCCATCAGTTCGTTGTTGTTTTGCTGTCTGTTACGATAATTATTATATCAGCTATACATCACTGGGCTGAGGAAACTAATCTGGAACTTGAAATATTTTGTGCGTGTTCCGTCAACCTAAGAGCTATCGCTGTATATGAAGATGGCTCTTCCTAGCGTTTGATTCTGTCCGTTAGTAAACACCAAAGTCGCTGAATATAAATGTCTCTAAATAGCTCATGAGTACGGTCAGCTTCAACATGATGTACAGAATAGTTACGAAGTTGTATGTTAACTTTAACTAAATATTATACTGTTTTCACTTTCTACTGCTGTTGCTTTAGCCGTTCTTGCTTAGACTAGCTCCCTAGCACTTTTCTAGGGTTTGCATACATAAATGCTTCTAGTCATATAATAAATCACTGTATTCTCGGCTTATTCTATCATAACTGTCATTTTATCACATTTAGTAAGTGGTCAAAGACCTAAATTGCTGTATACTACATTTTGAAGACATCTGCGAGGATCCTGAGCTCAAGGAACGTATAAAAGAGCTTCGAAATGAAATGGAAATTAAAAGGTTATCACAGCTTTCGCAAAGGTTGCGGCGAAGTCACAGTCAAAATACACGTAGTCAGAGCGTTCGGCGAACGTCAGTCCGCGAAAAGAATAAGATCTCACGACGAGAAGCAATTGAAGAAGCACGAATTCGACAGGAGAACCAAAGTCGAAACGCAATAAGTTCCGACGGCACGAACGGACGACCAAACGATGAGGTGTGCAATTACAGTAATTCATTCATTAGCTAGTCAGCAAAAATCCGGGATGACGATCCAGTTCTTAAGTATTCAAAGTGTTAACTTACATATTCTAATCGTCGCGTGTAAGTCAACGTACTTACGGTAACCGAAAATCACTAGACACCTACGCGTCTCTGCCTAACGCCCTCAACAACGCACAAGGCGCTGCCTGATTGAACGCAAACAGATCTCGGTTTGGAGATAATTGCTGACAAGTTGTTTCTCCATCGTAAACTGCTATTTGGAAGTCTAGATGCATTCCCTAGAAGAAGATGTTCCTTATACGAATCGTAGGAGTAGTTCTCGGAAACAATAATGGAAAGGGTAGTTTTCCCATGGCCACATCAGCTAGAGAATCTGATTGTTCCTTGTGATTGCTGAAACAGGCGCAGAATATCAGTAGCAGTAAATAACTTTAAGACCATGTTGTCACCAAGATGGAAAGGTCCCCACGATAGCGCAATGGTATTGGTTTTGCGTACGAAGCACATGTTAGAGCACACTGTGTGTGCATATACAGAATGCTTGTACCGGGAGGTCAGTTGACTGATGCAATGGCAACGCTGTACGTAAGGCTAAAGTAATTATTTTTTCACACTTGGAATGATTTCGAATAAAGATTATTTATACTCTGGTTGATTAACGTTACCAGAGGCAAAAGAAATACCTTTTCAATACCCGATGTTGTTCGGCATTCATATACAGCACCCGGTGGCATAAAGGCAAATACCTAGGCATTCGTTCCTTATACAGGGCTTACACCTTATTCAGGCAGCGGATAACAACGGTTAATGAGTCATCTGTCTGAAATGGCCATTTCGCAGGAAAGGAGACGAGAAATAAAACCGTTTCCTTCCTGTGTCCAGTGTAACGCTACTATGGTTGATGCGCGTTATGGTAGAACTATGAGCTTTCAACTGATTCTTATATATAGATATAAAAATATGAAGAAGGGATATTTTTTCACAACAAAGATGAAGAGCACTGTAGGGTTCGCAAAAACCTTCTTCAGCTCACAACTTCGTCACACTTTTTACTTAGGTATGCAATTTGCTCTTATAATAATTAGTGACAAAGGATGCCCATCTTAAAATTTCTCTTTTTTTTTTTCAAATACACAAAAGAAAATAAAACCGTATAGAATCCGATTAAGTAAAGCTATGAGAAAAGCTAGATCATCTACTTTAACCAATATATTCCGAAAATCAACTGAATAATATCACCATCCATTTAAGCATGTGCAATAATTCTAACACGATATCGTTTTTGACCTTACGACCCATCGTTATGTTCCAACCTGGAGGACTCTCCCGGAAATTCCCCCAACAACAACAAGACCGGTTCTTTATCAAACGGAGATGCGCTACGGCCTGCCGGAAGTGATCAAATCGATTCGATTACCGTTGCCAACAATAACCAAATTAAGCAGCAGCAGCAGCAGCAGCAGCAGGCGGGTCAATCATTACAATCCCAACTGGCAATGGGTCCTCCACGCTACGAAGAGGTCGTCCAACAAGGCAAGAATGCCCGAACAGCACAGAACAATCATACCTACGAGACGCTTACCACAACCGCTACCAACGCACCAAAAAGTCCCGAAGGTTTGTGTTACAAACATATGTTACGACCCATAAAACACTTCTAGAAAAATAACAAAAAAACTAACATCCCTAAGCTGGCCAACTCTATTCTTCTGTTTTTTAACTATCATATTATCAGATGTGCAACTTGTACTTTTTAACGCTGTTGTTAATTTAGAGTTATGCTCTCTAGATAAACTTTTAGTGAGCCTTAAACAATCTTTTGTTATGTGAGCAAGCTAGTTGATGAATTATAGAACAAAGCGCAAGCGGTTCTGCTCGGTTACATAGGGTGAAGTGTCTTACTAACGCGCGCTTGGCTTACGTTCATTACCCGACTGCTTTCACTTTAAGCCTGAGATGTTTACTTAATTTTGGCCCTTGTTATAACTATAAGTACATTTCGTAGGGTGTGTATGGACGCATATGCAAAATGACGAACAAAGCCTCTACGGCGCCTTCATACCCTGTGAGCTCCCTAACATAACCCACATTGGTTAACCAATTATCTTCTCCATAATGTAGGTAGTCTATTGGGTAATCTGTGTTGGATAGGCCCAGTACAAATTATCATATATTTGTATTATCTAAATAAATACGCTCATACTTTATCTTCGATTGTTGTCCCAGCATAGCACTTTTCGCCATCTTCCCCTTCTTTTTACACTGTACATTCGTACGTACGAGCTATTTTTCGTTCATATGCATGTACCGCATCATCTAACGCTTTGTCCTTGTCCAACATGTGCTGGTTGTACTCCTACCTGCCCGTATTCCGCGATGCCCATATTCTGTGCTTGTTTGTCTGCCCGTTTGTCGCCTTCGTGTCATTTTGTATTTTGCCGATACAAATGTTACTCGTGACGCTTGGTATCATATTTATCCCATCGTTGCTATCCATGGCCAACCCTTGATTCATGCTTGATTTGCGCTCGGCCTGATTTCGTCCTGGTTCTGCATTCCCTACTCATCTGTCTTCTGCGCGTTTGCACATCGACAACTTCGACCCTCGCCTTCGTTGCACGCTGCAATGTTCCGGGATACTCTGCGGTACACAGCTGTTAAGGTGGAGATCCACGTGACGGTTAACACTTCCGGTGGAGGCCCCGCGAGCGCCAAGGCCACATCCAGTCCCAGTCCCCCGTTGACGCCGAGCTCAGCAGGTGCTCACTCGCCGGTGACGACACCGCCAGGCTCGCAAATGGCGTCACTGTCGCTACCCCCATTAGCGTCCCACCAAACCTCCTCTTTAAGTCCCCAGCCGGCCACCGGCTGCACACTGCAGAAGACGCTGAGCGATCTGAAGAAGCATCGCACAGATTTACGGGCCAGCTTCAACCGTAGCAGTTACAGCACGGCGCTCGAAAACGGGGCATACCCATCCGTATCCCCCACTACAACAGGTCAGTTGTACGTTGTTAACGCCCGCCCCGACAACGCAGTCGCAATGAGATCGCCAACTACGTTCAAGAGCTAATGTTTGTTTTACGTTTAATGTTTATTATGCCAATGCCATCCAAGCCTTTCTAATGTAATCACCTAATATATGTACGCTATACATATACCGCCTACGCCGCTAAGCCACTAAGACCATTTCGAAAATAACCCAAAAAACTCTTTAATGAAACCACCTATAAACCTTCTAGCTACTCCAAGCCTACTGTTCCGCCCAGAAGCCTATAAAAGCGCAGCTTGGCGTTTAACTATGTCCTATTGTCAGTCTACATTTTGGCGTTCCTTTCTTCCATATCCCAGCTCGCTATTTGAATGTTACTCATTATGACCCGCATCTATATCCAGACATCTTAGGACCAGTAGCCTCATCTTTGGGGCAGGCCCATGTGTGCTCGTTTTTGACGGCCTTGCTCTCACATTATTTGATGAGGTTGCCTAAGAGATAGAAGACCCTTTGGATAGTTAAAAAAAGCAGATAGTTAATAGAAAGCGCTTGAGCTTCTACCAATGTGCATTAAAAGTTGAGACCAAACTTCGGACTACTAAGTCGTTCAACAACCACAAAACAGAACGCTTAATAACGACACTGATACCAGATGAGTTTGTGACGAATTCTGCGACCGTTTTTGCCTGCTGATCCCAAGTGTACGATCCGTAAAGCGCCGGTTGTACTTGTAGCATCCGCCAATTTCCAGTGAACTATTTACCATTGTTATCACGTCATCCTGCCTTGCTAACCATCTGTTACATTTCATAGTGGCAGAATAGGAACCTGATTCCCATAAATCCTTTTCTAGATTACAAAATTTCGTAGCTAACAGAATTTTTTGTATGACAGAAGTAGGTCACTATGCAGCGCCTATCCTTATCGAGTTCAATATTCGATTCCATATTAGCTATCACAGTAGACCACTACTCATTTATTGTTTTTGTTTCTAATACAGGTCCCACCCCAGCAGGAATCCTTCATGATTCTGACATGAAGCGATTCCGAGGAGCGGAAGTTGTTGGCGGCGAGACAGGGGCGCGATTTTGTTGTTCATTAATGTAACTTGGAAGACGGCAACATTTGCTGTAGACGCGACGTATCATCGACAGCAGCAAATTGTTTGCGACAACAATGGCAAAACTCCAACGTAAAATCGACCACATACCTATCTATCCAACTTTGTGTGTACATAAAGCGTGCGTTATAAACGGTAAAAGTGCGGCAAAAAATGAAAAACTAATAGCAAGGACGCACATACGGGATAACAAAACAGACGCGTCGAGAGACAAATTTTCTCTTCCGGAGTAAATAGGACGAATAAAAATCAAGCGGCCACCGAATACAAACAACGCGCGCTTTTCACTGCTGTATGTATTATATACTACTTATATATAAGAGATCTAGGGATAGAGGGTCGGATTGATACAAAAGGCTGAAAACCTCGAAGATTTCATTCATTGAATCGCGCAGCATATGATGAAGCATCAAGAATGTTTCTTGTAACTTGTCAAATGAACACCGTCGCACATACGCGCCAGCCGCTAATAGTAAATAAGCCGAAGGAACATAAAAGATATGAGGGGACTTTGCTATAATACAATAGCTAGACACTTTTTGAACACCGTTATTCTTTGAGAGAAAACGAGACAAATCGTTTAAGGATGAAAAAACTAATAATGACACACTACCGTCAAAGGCAAATAATTGGAGCCAGACTACGGGTAATTAACAAGATTGATATTATAATTAACTACATGAAGATAATTAACACGATGAAGGACATGAAACCCATTCATACGCAAGAAGCTGCAAAACAACCCTTCTGCAAAAATCCGAGGAATAGCGGCAACCACCTGTCACAATATCTTGTCTCCTCTATGTTGACTAATGTTTTAATGACTGCGTCAGGAAACTGCTTTCAGTATGATAATTACGCAAATGATAAAAAGTAGTTAAATTGGAGATAAAAAGTTGACCCATAAAGCAATTACAAAGGCGGAAGGAGCTTGGTGATACGTCAAGTTCGCAATATATATATATATATATATATATACATATAGAAGATGGGTACGAAAACCAGCAAACCTTAGAATTTGAAAAGTATTTCAAATAACGACAGTACATAGCGATCCTTCGGTTGTTTAGTTGCCGCTGCAAGCATAGCTGCGATCTGTGATCGGGATCGAATGTGAAACTACACGGGGGGAGGGCCAACAGTATGCGAGTAGGCACTTATATGGAGTCATTTTTGTACAATCGTGCAAGCTATTTTTGTCCTTATGCCATTGTCGAAATAAAACCATCCAAAAAAAAAAAAAGGCGGAGTAAGTCGAAAATGCGCGAACGGATTAGGACCACTCGTACGTTAGTTTGCTCTTCCTTAGCTCTCAAGGCCACTACTATTTAGAACTCACCTTAAGGTTTTGTCGATTACTCGAACTGGCACAACAATAACAACAACAGGCGTAGTAATTCGTCATCCATTAGTGACAGGCCTTCTCCTTTGTCAGAAAAAAACATTCAAAGAAATGTTTGATTCGTCATTGAGAAATTTCCAAAGCCTTAATCGAATGTCTGCTAACCTGCTAGAGTGTTATTTTAACGGGAGAGGAGCAGTGCTTAATATGTGGCTACAACCGTTTGACGCACAAGACGCTGGCACAATGCAAATTATAAAAAAAAAAAATAAAATAAAATAAATAAAGAAAGCCATTTGCCTGTGATTCGAGATTTATTCAATATGGTACTGTATTTAACATGGCTGACAGCGAAAAAGTCACTACGAATCGTAAGAGGAACACATGCGCTTTAAGTCGAAAATGGTATCGTGATATAGAGAACGTCCTAAGCATTTGCCTGACACTGAATAACGTTTTTATATCCGCAATAGCCACAATCGACTGGCGATATTACCTTATTCCCGTTTGTGTCATCGAATTCGCTTGATGCTTGTATATACGTATCAGTGTCCGGAGTCCCGTCGCATCATAGGATATTCCCCACATAACAATGAGTTACTAATTAGCAAGAATTTTCCTGTTTGCCTTCCTTCCTTCCAACTCAGACTATCCAAGGGGCCAAAGAACGCCGATCTATATTACGCGTACTTACATACACAAATTTTCAACCTAACTGGCACAAATGTACTAACAATTATTACCAGGATACACAAGACGCAAGGATAACACCGGTACAGCTCTTCACGCGCTGTCTATCACGGGCGTCACATCTGTGGCAACCATTTAACAGACTCACACAACAATTACGATAGCGTGTCTGCAATTTTAATCCCCTGTTCTTGTTAAACTTTTCGAGGCCATTATCATCCTAATCTATTCGTATTTTTCCTATGACTACAACGGATGTGGTATGAAAGGGTGCATAGGGACGAATGTCGCAGGTGAGGGACAAGGATTAATTCCGATTCCTTTTCCGACGAGCGATCAGGGCGCTTATGTTGATCTTCCGTCAAAGACGTGGGCGCGTAACTAGCGAAAAAAATGAACGGCGCTGAATTTTCGCTTACGCGAACGTGTTTTTAGGAAGATTTCATCAGCGACGAAGCAGGCAACGTATAAAGCGAAATTAAACGTACGTTGAATAGGCGAAACACAACTCGGACTGTTTCCCCAGTTCACAACAGAACGAGCAAGATCGAACTGAAAACGACTAACTACGCAGAGACTGATGTATCAGAATGGGCAATCAATAAGTTACGAGATGATTAGAAGTTAGCGATTCAAGTAAAAGATATCACAGTTGGCAAAAGAAGTGAGAGATAGCATTAAATAATATGCCCTTTCGATAGAGAATCTGACGAGCTCCTTCGAATTTTACTAAATATCTCCACCCTTATTATTGTTCATGTTATTCAGCTGGATTTACCGCTGTGGCAAACGTGTGTGAGTTGAAATGCTTCGTATAACTTATTGATTTGTATCGAAGTTGACATCAATTTCAGGACGCGTTTCTATCTAAGCAATGTAAGAACTAGGAAAGGGCAACAAACACTCAATAAAAGTAATCCCCATATTTTTATCTGTTTGTCGTAACAGCCTCAACTGGTATATATATAACAGGCGCAATCATTAAATATCCCCTCCTCTACTACTCTCACTTATATCTTTAAGGTTGCACTCTTACTTACTTTTCGTACATATATATATTTTTTTTTTCAATTCATGTTTTTATTTATTTGCAAAAACTACGATCACTATTTTTTACTTAAGCTAAGCACTTGGCGACAAAGAATTTACTTTCGTTCCCATTCAAAGAGACCGCTCTTGCCTGAAGAGTATGATATTAAATATATAAGAACACATATAGGAGCGACAACGAATCTGTAAAAAAAAAAAAAGTGTAACTTTTTGAGCAAACATACATATAACAACAAGAAAATGCAACTATTACCCCTAAACGTATGCATAAAACGAAATACAGCTTCGAATGTTTTTTTATAACTTGCGAAAAGCTGAGCAAAAAGAAAGATACCCTGCGTAGTATAACACGTCACCCTAATGACATGTGTGACTAGCATTACTTTAGAGAGAGAGAATTAAGCCAAATACTGGTTAAGATAGTAACCAAAATAGAGACGATCCCATCTGCTAATTGGCTTGCAGAATGACAGAAACGCAAGGGTGCAGACGGGCGAATGTATGTGTAGATGGGTCCAGAACCAACGCACTAGCGCGACTGGCGCTATGCCATACGTAACGCATAACATTTACGTTTCCGTTACTTTCCCAGTTGACCGAAATCACACACTTTTACGAAACGCGGCAGCTTGTCGGTGATATAAAACAAGCGGAAGTTTTAACAAACAACACATCCCATGTTACATATGCTAAGATAATTTTTAAAAAGGCATTTTTGGGACAGTCAATCAAAAGTAGAGGAAAAAGTAACAGAAAAAAAAACATAAAGTATTTCAAGGCATTCTCGACAAATTGGATTTTTAAAAGGGGTACGCTTGAATCAATCGGCTTTTGACGTTGCGGCTTTAGTAAGGTCCTATTTCAAAGAACTTTTCCACATACACCAAGAAGAACGATACATCATGCAGTTAGAAAGCTATAATATGATATATGTCGAAAGCAACATAACTCCACAATATGATTATATAGGATAAAGAAACTGGCCAAGAACAGGACTGAAAGAGACTACAATCGTCTTGAGCACCGAAAACCGACAGACAGGGTTGGGTAACTATACTGATGATAGATATAGATAAGGACGTAGGAAATTGTTTACAGGGAAGGATTAGATCGGGTCGATCTTAGGACCTGGTCACAAATAGCCTTTAGCCGGTGTTTATCATCTTCGTTTTGAAGACGAGGAAGAAATCTAAAAAAGCATATAGGAAGCTTATTATAGATATTGCGCCGAAAATAGTGATATGATCGATTAGACAGTAAAGAAAGTAGAATGATGCCAACCACTACAACTGTAACATACTATTTTGTGATGGTTAATTATCTATGGAATATTATAAATGTGCGGTGAACCCGATTGTGAAATGACCGTAGGATAATGATACAGATATTGGTGATGAAGATAATGATAAAAATGACAATGCTAGGGGTTATAAAGAAAGATCTAAATTATATAAATAAATACGAACATAACTGAAGAGTCGAGATAAATGTGTTATCAGAGGTGTCATAATTTAGTATCAATCAGTTTTTTAACAGTAGTAGCCATAGTCATAACACCGATTTCTGGACAGAATGTTTGATGGGGTTATGGGGTTATTGATGTGCAGGGCATAGGATCAAAGAGTTGCTTGCATATCTTTACAGTATACAGCTGAATCCATTTACAGCAAAATCATACAACAAATGAATGATGATGCACTTCATTATTATCTTATCCAAGTTAGTTTTAAAGCTATTGTACTACATTATGTAGTTAGACAGACGACAGCCAAGCATATAGGCTTTGTCCTACACTCATTAGTATCCGAGCGTGGAGAAATGCATAATAGATTATAGAATCAGTAATTTAGTTTGTGGCTTATGGGTGTAGGACTGTAAAAAGTAGCGCGAGCATGTAAAGGTGAAACTATAGCGAAAAGGAAAAGCTGTATCATGCTGAGTATAAAGATACGTTCACTGCGCCACTGGCCTTCGGTAGAAGAGAGATCAGAATATAGTGAAACCAGGGAAAGCTAGCAAACAGTGTCCGATAGCTAGAGGCCACATGCACGATGGTAAAGCTGAAGGAAGGTTGTGAGGCTACGAGACTGAATGCACGCATGTTACGGTGCCTATAACAGTGAAGTCTTAAGAGACTGGAGAGCCGGAAGCTGAGAGGCACTTCACGCCGAGGGTTGGCCAAGAAAACAAGTAGAGACCGCGTGGGGCGTAAACGATTGTATTGTATCGCTAGCGTTATTCTGATGACGTTTCTTAAAAAAAAAACTATCAATTTCCGATTTCATCAGGAGCAGGTTGTAGCAATCAAACGATGCAGCCCTATCGGTCTACTCAAAAAAAAAACTATATCTGAAAACTAAGCCATTTAGGAAGAAAACAGTTTGCAAATAGTGTTGTAGTATATTGCAAGTAGACGTAAACTCCTAGCATGTCTCCTTTCTTTTAAGAATCACGCTTGTATACGCCTGTAGAATGGAACAGATTAACGGGCTGGTTATATTACGTAAATGATTTTTCGCGTCAGGAAATCGTAGAGAAACACAAATCATCATTGCATTTAAGGTGCCTCTACTGATCTAGTTAGCTTTGCACCTAGTAGAACCGTTCTCGCAACCTTGATCAAAACTCTTTCCTTTGTCGGAATCTAAAATTTATTTGATAAATTTCTTTCTATCAAACAAAGGGTGTTCTAACACTTTTTTAAAATTAATTTTTTTCCAGCAAATTCTAGGTTTTTGTAATATTCCTGATCACTGCTACATTCGCCGTAGACTTTAGTAATTGTCCGAGATGCATTTAACGGTTGACTTTAAAACAATAGCAACACATATCAAAATGTTTAGCAATCTTATTTGGCGTATATTACATTCTTTAGCATATTGTATATATATTTTAGTATATATTGAACTATAACAATTTCCGCTATTTATTTACTCTACGTTTTCAATGCGTTTCAAAACAATGAAAAACAACGAGCAGTCCTGAAGTTTTTTAGGTGTGCAGAAACACAAAAAAGTTCCGAGATTACATTAAAACCATCGTTGTATGGTTGTATGGCATATAAATAACAGCCAAAAAGAAACAGTTTTCCGTGCTTTCAATGACTGAGGTTATTTTTTATATACTGGTAAAAAGTTAGCACACATTTCTGTGCGCCTTAGATCAGGCTAACCAGATGATGCCGACCTGAAAACTTTTAGTTGATGAGCATGCCTCTGACTCCGCTGACTCTTAACCGCAAGGTGGTTATTTTGGAGTACGAATGCGCGATTCCTTTAATAACTGTCCCGCTTGCCGAGTTGGTCTGCTTCAAAGCTATGGACCCCCAGGTTTTAATAAATACTAACGTCCTTTACGAAACCAATTCAGACTTGCAACGACAACGGCTTAGCAGAAACATATCTTTTGATGGCGCCGGCCAGCTTGATACGCTACGATTGACAGGCTTACCTGTTCAATCGATGCTTCGCAAATGATACGTTTACTATACTAGCCAGATGCATTTGCCCTATTTGAAATAGTTCTCTTAAAAAATACACTCGGAATCGTTGTATAATTCGAACGCTCACAACGGGTCATGACGTATGCATTGTGATCAGTTACACAATTTTGATTTGATCTAGTCAGCTTAAAGGGTTTTGAATTCTATATGTCAGTGTTTCATAATGGAGCTACATAAAGTTTCATGCTCTAGTCCCTAATACTAACGTATTGTATCTTAGCCTTCTTACCGGTTAATCAAACGCTCTTAAGGTTACTCGAAAAAAAATGCACGTGGCATATCTCGAGATGATGTAACGTACCGTAGGCTGTTGGTACCCAATTTATACATAAAGCCCCCGTGATGGTTTTAACCTCACAAAGACTGTATGTATGACTATAATGATCAAAAGAGGGATGTGGATGCAGACGCTTTTGAAGTAGCGGGTCCAAAACATGTAAATGATCAATCTTTTGGACTGCAGCTTAGACATTATTGTAAAAATTAATCTCTTGAATAAAGATGCTTGTATACTATATTTTTTAATCTCCTTCAAATACTTAAGGCATCCTCAACGATGGACAGTTCGTCCGTAGCCTAGCGAATTATTATATTGTGACAATATCTCCAACATTCAACTTTCACTAGAGGCACTTAGATACGCTTCCTGAGGTATCACTCATTTCGTTACAGAAAACAGCAGTAGCTATAAGGACTTCCTTCTAGACACATTCATTGACTGAGCGCTGATGTGCTCTTATACAGCTCCCAAGCTACAGTCGCAGCCGTCGCAGTGTTTTGTTCAATGCATCGTTGGTAAATTACGCGGTCAAAGATTTGTTTTTCCTGAAAAATGAAGCAACACCCGCTTGGAAAGGGAGCACAGTTTAGGTGCCTAACGTTTTTCTGATAGCAATACGATATGGCGGGAAATTCAAAACTGTGTTTCCTCTGACAACAACGATGGAGGATCTGCTGTTCGATGCAGAAACTTTGAAGCGGGCACCCCTCCCGGCTAAAATTCTTGAGGAAGGCGAAGAGATCTTCCGGTTCACAGGAAAGACGGCATCAAGCTCATTCACACTCGAGAATACTTGCAAGGGGATAGCTCCTAGAGAAACTGCGAGTGAGAAGCGACGCAAATTCAAAGATGCGGAAGAACATGGCTATCGGAGAGCACCGGCGGTGCTCATAAGTCTTCAAGAGTTTATTAAGAAGGTCGGCCTTTAGGTCCTTGGCGAAGGCTTTTAATACTCTAAATACGTAATTATTCTGGTTCTTCATTTATAGAAAATTAATGCAAACTATACGAACTGCTCCACCTGCATCTAAGGTTTAGTAACTCTTCGCATTCGGTTGCATGTTTCTATCATAGACTCGATACAAGCAAAAAGCACACAAGCCTCATAAACTTCCGTCTCTGAACCAATAAGAAAGTGCTGTTTATAATGTACAGAAAGACAATTCAATAATAATTCTGTACGTGATAAATTCGGTTAAATATTCATAGCAATTACAATATGCCAAGTGGTGAATGCATAACGTTTGATCTTATAAATATGAATTCTGTTGACTTTTGGCTTTTAGGAGCGGTTCCTTAAAATGAAGCGACATCCGAAAGAGCACTATGTTAGGGAACAAGCGTGTATGGCCGCCTTTCAGCTACACAATCGTGTGAAGAAGCACGTTCTCGGATTTTCAGATATACGAGAATTAATTGTCAATATTGCTGATCTCTATGACTATTGTGCACAAGGTGTGCCAAGGAGAGCAACGATTGTCGTGGCTCGACTAATTCACAAACTGATAATAATAATGAATGATCTCGCGTCAGCAATTGAGATGAAAACTCAGGGTGTCGCCACAACCTGGTCATCGGTAGCGGAACGATACAAGCGTTTGGGAGCAGAAGATCCTGGCAAACCGGCTATCAATCAGATAATACCCAGCACTCAATTCTTTGTTACCGATAGTATATTAGGAAAGGGTGGATTTGGTTACGTGAGCCGCGTGACCTTTGGTGGCTCGGTCGCTATGGCCGTCAAACTTGTACCGCTGGATAAACAAGTTCAGCCAAAGTATGCCGTTGTTGATAAGGTACGTAGTGCGGTCGAGGTTTTGGCCCACCTTGACTTGTTCAGCACGATCATGCATAAAATTAGGCGCACACTTCATGTAACGTGGTGTACTATAGCAAAAGGTTGTTGATTAGTCCTAACTATAGCATATCGCATAAACTAGATCGTATTAATGATAATCGAATGACTTAGGTTGCTTGTGGGTTGTTTTAGACAGCTAAGGAAAATAAGCACGGCAGATATGAGTCGCTAATATATTCATGTAGGGTAAATTACGTATACGAAAAAACGTGACGATTTGTTTGACGCTATCACAGATTGTAGCGTGCATGGTCAATCATCCATTGTTGGTAAAGTGCTATTGTACATTTCGATGTTCGTCGGCCTACGTAACGGTGATGGAGTATGTGCTAGCGATCGATATTCTCAAAGCGTTGAGGCTGGCGCCTCCGCCTGATGGACCACCGATGTACGTGCGCCAACATATCGTCGCTCAGCTTTGTCTGGGTATTAGTTATATCCATTTTAAAGGTGAATGAGAAGCTTATTTTAAAAAAAAAGTATAATATACAAAGAGATGCGATAAAATTTAAGATCTACACTGTCTACTAGTTAGGTATCTGATATTATTTGATCAATAATTTAGCCTTAACGATCTTAGAAAAATTCTTAGATTACACATAAAGCTTTAAGCATTTATCCGTTAGCAGCGGCAGTAGCCGCTGCTTTTAGAATTTTTAGAATTTTAGAATTAGAATTCCGAAAAATCTTTATTATTTTGAAATTTTTTTTGAACTGTTGGTCAATGCAGGCTTCATCCATCGGGACATCAAACCTTCAAATCTACTTCTGTTGCCTGGCTGCCGCCTGAAGTTAATCGATTTCGACACCGTGAAGGTTGGCATGGGCAAATTTCGAAACTGGTATATGCATAACTGGTATCGGCGGACGACTAGCGAATTTCATGATCGAGAATCAGCTGGCACAAGGGCTTATTTTCCGCCCGAGGTTCTTACAAGAAAAGCCTATGGCCGATGTATAGATTGGTGGGCACTCGGAGTTACGCTTTACGAGATGGTTTGTGGCCGACTACCGTTTCGAGCTGATGATAATACAACTGTGAGGAACAACCTAGCCGACGTCATTAAGAAGGCGTCATTCGACTACCCGGAGGGTATTGACGTAAATCCCTACGAAAAGGATTTTATAGGTCGTTGTCTTACGAAAAAACCTTCGGTGCGTATGTGCTCGAAAGGCGGTTACGATGAGTTCCGTAAGCACATGTATCTAAAAGCCATAGACTGGGCCGATGTCGAACGCTGGTCAACTGTTGAATGGGTAGCGTTCGAACAACTTATGGAACATCAGATAGAAAATGCTTCTACAGCTAAGGTAAGTACTTTACGAGACTATTGTTTCAAGTACTACAACTCTGTGAGAGAGAAACAGGGACGATGGTACAGTGTGATTGGCCTATTTAACTTTGCGGTAAATCCTGAGGTATAGTAATTTGTTTATTTTGAATTTAATATATTTTTTTTGAACAAAGTTATGTTCCAGGTTCCCGCGAAAGTATGAAAGTTAACTGCTACATGATTTTCTTAGTTTTTCCTCCTATTTGTATTTCCTAAGGGATTCCGAAGAGATTTAGGCAAGCGTAAAAGTCTCCGAAGTATCAGTTATGTACATTATCGTACCAGAATAACTCGGATTGTCTTTAGAGACTGACAAGTCATACGCGTCATCCCAAAGCCAGCCAAAAATGGGGTTCAGGATGCCCGTCTATATCTACTGATCTTATTTAGACGAATGCGATTTTGAAAATCCCCCCGTAATTATAAGAGGTATTTCTGCTTGTGCTAAAGCCTAATAGATTTCTCCAAATTCAAAATTAATAGCACTAGTAAAAGCAGTGCTCCAAATCTGCTATTGTACTGCTATCTATAATTAAGGAAAGAACAGACAGATGGCAAAGAGCAAGTGCAATTATAATATATATATATATATATATATATATATATATATAGAGGTTATATATACTATATATAATTATAATATATATAGAGAGATTATCATTATATATATATATATATATATATATATATATGGAGGTATATTTAGGAAGCCAAAAATGATATAAGAAGAATATACTTAGATGTCGTTTCAATCTATGCAGGATTCTAAACCGAATGCTCTTGATAAAGCATTCTTTTTTTTAGGGAAATCAACCTGTCGGTCAGCTGGAAAGGTTATTTACAGGTAGTATGAACACTGGTATTCCACATAGAGGCCTAATCCGTAAAACTAATCCGTAAAAAAGCTTCATGGATCTTTGTATCTTTTTGTGTTTATGTTTACATTGTTATCTTAAAAATCACCAATCTGTGTTTTTGTTTTCTTTCATGTGTTCGCCTTGCGTACACCGCAGAATCCTGACCATGATCAGCGTTATCTCAGCCAGGTCGAACTAAATAACGATGACGCATCTAGTCCTCCGCTTTACACATTTGCTTCGAGAGGCTTCCTAACTGCTCTCGAGCGAATTCGACGAGGAGAACCGATTCTTGAGTCCGATATTCAGGATGCTCCGGAATACGTCGAACTCGACTGTTTCCAGGAGTATAGGTTTCAGGAGTTTGTTGCTTAACAGCAGCACTTCTGCTGGGTACAATCCGTCGTGCTGACAAGGTTGGCACATGCGTAGCAATCCCAAAACGAAGCAGGAACTGTGCACCATTTAAATACAAGCGACCGGCCTTATTAAATCGTCAGGCGAGACCTTATGTACAAGACCTCGTAATCACTAAGCAAGTATCAGCGACACATCTTTAATCTACGGTTTTGATTTTTGTAACCCTTCTCGTTGTTGGGCATCCTTTCGTTGGAGGCAAATGTTTTTTTTATGGGCAAGTGTTTGTCAAAGGATCAGCGAAATAGGTAAGCCAGTTAAGATAGTAGTTGGATTTGGTGGCTCTGATGGTCCTGTTCGTAAAAAAGAGAAAATCTATAGTGGCATTCGATTTAAATACGAAGCAGTGTTTAGTAATGGAAATACATGAAATATATGAAAGTAGATTTTTCTTACAAACCATGTATGCCGGGCTTGCAACCGGGCAGCCGCCAGTATTCAAGTTTGTTTCGACAAGTTACAACATAGGTGAAGTTAACTAGGGCTTTAACAAATCACAGTATGTTTTCTTCCGGTGAACCTTGCTCAGAGATTTGTTCTGTCAATAAGTACTAAGAAAGCACATTATAATTACACGGTTCATGTTAATGCGCGAACCAGTTTTTCCAGTCTCAGCTTATAGTTCAGATTTTTTTTTATTTATTTAAATTGCAGTTGTCCTGGTAAGCTGCAGCGATACTCGGCACTACCCGGTTGCAGTCATCTCTAGTTAGTCTCCTTACAATTATATGCAATATAAAAATTATTATATAGTATAAAAAATCTCATCGAATACTTCAATCACCTTCAAATAGCCCTCATTGATTTTTTCCGTTTTAGTAGTTACTCTAATCAATGTCCCCAAGTAATAAGTCATCTTTTTATTCTAAGAGAATCACTCGATTATTTTCTGCCATGTCTTTATATATCATAATTAATCCTGTAATTTATCTTCATCAACCCCATAGGCTGGGCGCGAATATTCACCTAGTCTCTATGCTAAATAGTTTTGCAAGTAAATATTTAATAAGTGCAGTTTCGTACCTATTTATGTAAGGATCGGAAGTCTAGCGACCTGTCACGTTGGTTGCCAAAATCACCGTTTCGAAAGGTTATTTTACCTATGCGGCAATTTCTTACACATTTTACCATACAGCCATTACCGACTATTGCTGGACCTAGTGGTGCTTTAGGTATTACAGTTACTATTAATGTTTTTAACATTTTGGTTTCTAGGACACGTTTTTCTTTGTTGTTCTAGGTTATTAAAATTTTGTGATTTGTTATCCAAGTACTTTGGCTAAATGTAAGGATAATAAGGCTAGTATCGTTTGACTCGTCTTACATTTAGCCAAAGTACTAAAATAAATATATTTTTAAAAAAATAAAAAAATTGTGGATTTTGAAGACAACGTTCAAAATGAGAAAAGCAAAAAAGACCGCACTACTTAATCAAAACTTTAAAGGTTAAAATAAAACGAATTCCGGCAAAAAAAGATGGATTAGTGCTTATATTTCATGAACAATAATTCTTACTTACAACTTTATAAATCTGATTTAGTTCGTACATATATATCTATAATATTTGTTGAGAAAATGCGTCCTATTAATTTTCTAGTAAACCTCACTGCCTTATTTCGGGAAAATACCCTAATTATTAGTCTCTAAAAACACTCTATAGAAAAAAAAACAACACATTAAAGTAACAGAATCGTACGGATCGTAGGTACTCGGATAGTAGTTTGTACAAACTTCCCCTGACGGACACAAAACAGTCCGTCCTATGGTATGTGAATAAAATACATCAAATGCCTTTAGTATATTATATTTAGAGAATACAATTACGTGTTATAAAAAAGTTACGTTTTTATTTTACTACGCATTGACTGTTCAAGACTGTCTTGAACATACGTGTAACACTATTAACTAAGCGTGCCCCTTATATGCCGTCTAGTTTGCGTTTAGCTCCTATAGTCCCGTGTACCTCCCAACCAATTCAATATAACAACTGTGATATAGCGCCTCTTTCTCAGCCGGTACTAAGAGGCAAAGGATCTAATATAGGAAAGAAAATAAAATCCATGTTTCTGTCACATGCTTGGCAATGTATTTCATTTGTTGTATTGTCTTCATCAGTTCCTTTGGATGTATCGATTATGTACAAACAATTAATTAGTATGAAGGGTCTATAGGAATATGTACACTTGAGTCGTTTACCAACTTAAAAGCGCAGGCCTAACACATCACGAAAAAAGATGCTTAGTACTGTATAGCGAATATAATAAAATACAAGGAAAAAACGTCTTGAACGTTAATACAGCAAAAGTCGCGTGCGTCATTGTCGCTAACTCGAGAGGCTTACGAATCGGGTTTAGAAACTTAGCTACAACCTCTAAATGTAACGATCTCATTTAAACTGATACACCATTGACTGTGGTGCAGTTTGAGCCGAAAACATTGTCTCATGGTGTACGGGTAGTTGTTCATCAAATCATCCTAACTGCGCGACAAGCATTTCGACGCCCTTGTAATGCCTAGGACGAGCTAGCGACAGAGAGCTACGACAAGCAAAATAAACAAAACAGTGTGCCCGAATGACACGAGTCGATATAAACGCTTGGTCCTGGCTACGCATACCTAGAAAGATTTATCTCGCCTTTGCTTAATACTTTTCAAGTTCCTCCGTTAATTAAACCGGTTATGAGAAAGCACTTTTTTGAGAGAACACTCGTATGGCGCCGCGTCAAATAAGATTGCATCAAGACAAAATGTAGAATAACCGTCACCTACTATAGAATAGACGGGCACTAGTCGAGACAAGCGTTTCATTTGGGTCGCAAATGGAGATGTTGTAGATAGTATTAGAATTGTTCTGCTACTTTGCGTATCTACAATCAGTACGAATATCGAATTCTAAGAGTATTTTCTGTGGATCGTGCATTGGCTACGGCTAACGAACGTGGAAGATTTGATTGTAAACATTGTATCCGATGTTGGCTCGTCAGTAAATGATTCCCTGACGAAAACTGGGCAGGATGTTGGCCCATCGTAGTGATTGCTGTGGGCGTCACCACAAACCCTCCCTGATATTCCTCCTACTCTGCGAAAATTCAATCCTTATTTTCTTGGTATCGTTGTTCCTTATTATCTGTAATATTCCTTGCTCCTTATATATAAACGCACTGAATGTCTAAAAATTTTATTTATGACGCCTAAGCATTGTACGACTAGTGACCGGCGAGATATCAACAACAAACAAAGCAGTTGTTGCCGGGGTCTCTAAATCCTACCCGGAATGTCAATGCCCTACACCGAGTTAGGATTTAATCCAATCTGAGCTTTTCATTAGTAGTTCCTTTCGCGTCGTTATTGAATCACCTAGACCCTCTGTGTGAAGGCCTGGGATCCATCGGGGTCCGAATGCGAGGCTGGCAGGACATGATACAGCGGGTAGAACTAAAGTAAAAATTACTTGACCGTTTGGCGACTTAGACCTTTAATCTGATATTCAGTTATGATAGACTAAAGGCTTTTTTTAAGATTTTCGCTCTCGACAACGTTGTTGTTATTGTTAATGGAGCATACGCTTTGTTGGGCGGCTACTGCAGCGGCGGCTGCAGCTTCCTTTTGTAGCTTCTCATCGCGTTTCTGGCGATATGACTGAATGTAGAAGTGGAAAAACTGAAGAAAGAAGACGAAGCACTGGAACAGCATAAACGCCGGGAGGGCAGAGTATCTGAAAAAAAAAAGGTCGACAAAAAAAGATCGAGTTGTATTAATGATTTCCAGACGACAAGCAGAAACTAACTTGTGACCATCAATGGGGCAGCAAGTCAGTAATTTGTAATGCAAGTAAAGTGTCCTAGAGTGAGGTCAGATGGCCCTATGACGTTTAAAAATCTCTATGCGTTTCATTGCATGACTTTTCTAACACTCGTCGTATGTACGGGTACTGTTATCTGGCTGGGTTATCTGGCTAAATAGCACTTACCGGTTATTAAGCCAGAACACGAGCATAATGTTCCGCACGATCATAATCACGAACTGGACAAGCTGCAATGTGGTAAGGTACTTTTTCCACCAAAGGTACTTCTGGATCTCGGGACCGCATGCCGACAGAAAGTAATAGCCATACATAACTACATGAATGACTGCATTGAACGTGAGCTCAAACGACGCGAGCGCGAAGCCACCGTACGTGACATAGAGATAAACTGAGAACGTCACGGATACGTGATGAAAAACGTGGAGGGTGGAGACCTAACAGAGAAAGAGGTTTTGTTTGTCAAAATAATACAGCACTGCATATTGTAAATTTTTTTTATGAGGTTCACTCATCAAGTACATTTATGATGCACACCTGTCGGAAGCGCTTCCTTAAAACGAACAGGATGGTCTCAATACATTCGGACAAGCGAAGGATAAGATAATACCAGGACACATTCAGAAGCAGAATCGTGGTCGGGTGATCGCCAAGGTCAGGAGCAGTAAACCACATGTTGAAGTGTCCTACGAAGAAATGTGTAGTAGTTAGAGAAAAATCGAAAATAACTGTAGGAAGGGTATTATTGGATGCTATATCTACCCACAATGGTTATTCAATAAATGAATTTCCTATTTGCACACGGCAGCGAAGAACGACAAGTCAGGTGTGAAAATTTTCATTAGTCAGCACTGACGGCTAACCCATTTAGTCTATCGTAGCGTCCTGACTGAGCCTGGAAGGATATAACTATTCGTTGCATCATATCATAGCTAGTGTCAGGGAACAACAGCTCGACCTTGCCTAGGATGGGTCATGGCTGCACGTTTTCGCTCTTATGCGTAAAGGTAGATTCGTCAAGCAAATCGAGTGACTACATGAAATATTATACGAGTTGAACGATATAGCGATTCTTCAAAGAAAAAAAAAGCAAATGTTTGAGAACGACGCTCTTTTCGGCGATGGTTTTCCTATGGTAAAGGTTCGTTGTGCCGGGCAGCTTCGAAAGCAACACCGATCCCTAAGCAATTTATTTTTTGTTGTTCTCACTAACGACTGTGTCGCGTTGTTAACAGGGACCAATTACTGAGAAAACAGTCAGAATGATGATTAAACAGTCGGTTAGATTTAATCTCGCGAACGATGGCAATATGTAAATGTAGGAGATTCAAATTTTGCTAGTGCCGTTGACGAAGACCTTTTTAATAAATATGACTAACACTTAATTTGATTTACTCGGATGTTTAACGAAGTAATGATTAGAGATGTATGTGTAGATAGACGAAAACCTGTCTCGTCCGACCTCGGTGTCGAGTGCCGTAACGCGCTAAACAGCTAAAAAAATTTTTTTTGCATAATAGTGATGAGCTAACGATGATTCCCGGTATATGAAATGATGTCTGTAGCAATCTTTAGTGTAAATGTTTCAAGCGCGAATACGTATACCGATCTGCCTTTAACAAATTTCTCCGGCCATATGTCATGGGCAGTTTCAATTGACGTCTCAAACTTCGAATAAAGCCTTCAGTACAATTCGAACGTTACGTTATCGATCGATTAGATTAACGTCGATCTATAAGCAGAATGAAGATACCTTTCCAGAAAGCGTGGTAGTAAACGTAGCTGGAGATAGACAAATTTGTTATAACCATAGCAGCATTATAGAGAAGAATAATGGGACGCAATTCGTATGCCTTCGAATTCTTCATCATCGCCGGCCCGATAACCTGAACGAAGCATTCAGATGCAAATGGTTATTAAAATAATACTGGTTAGCCCATAGAAGATTAAAAATCAATTGACCAGAATACGTCAGGTCAATATTAACAGTTTCAATTAAATATCATTAATAACACCAAAGAAGCACCTAGTTGACATTGAAGATTTTTTCGAAATGCTAGTTGGCGTTGCTTAGTCATCAGATAAGTTAGCCATATATCAACTAACAGTTTCCATGACAACGCAAGAGATTAAAAACCCCTGATGATCCAGCTTCAAATCCGAGGTAGCAATGCGCTTAGTATATGCAAAGCGCAAATGATTTTTTTCGTATATTTACAACGAAAAAACATATTTGCCCTAGCATTATGTGCATTGTTCTATCTAGCCGATTTAATAAACTACTATTTATATTACAACAATGAATTTTGAGCGCTTGTCAAGTTAAACAGCACGTCGCCTATAAGCACGTCCACTCTATCATTCCCGTGAAAAGTCAGTGCAGGTTTCTAGGTTTGGAACTGGACGCAAACACTTCTTTGTGTCGAGTGGTTTAGGTGTCTGAAGCAATGTTTAACAGCATTACCACGATCCTCCTACGTTACCTAGCCACTCACCTTGACGATATAAACATAACAGGCAAGAATAGTGACGATCGGCGCAGGGTTGCCTAACAGGAGCCAACCGTCAACTCGAGAATCTTTGTCCGGCAGGGGCAACCAGCTCTGGCTGGGCACTGTTTCAATATCCAGCGAGGCCATTGCCTGGCACGAAGCGAGAAAAAGGAGCACAGGCACAGAAATCAGTCAGTCGAATTTCTTTTAACAGTGAGCCTGAAACACACATTGTGAAGTGGTGTCAATATCAATAATAGAGATTCAATGTAGGGTAGCTGTTGATAGCAGAAGCCTACCGCGAACGTAGAAGCTAACGATAGTACGACCGTTAATAAAACATTGATGCCTTTTTGAATAGGTTGTGGCCCTTAGTGTGGCCTTAATTGGAGTGGAGATGGTACTCTCTAACATCGACGCGTTTCTCGAAATATCAACGCTAGAATCATCAAGCTGCTGCATTATAAATTAGATGCTATCCACGACAGCCTCGATGATTTATAGAATAGATACATTGTTACCTCAAAAAGAAACCTGCCCTCAAGGTAATACGTAACCTAGAAATGCTGCTGCTATTAGAATTAATAAAGTTACAGTTTCCGTAAATCGTGTCTTAACCAAATGAAACTTTCATAATTCCCCGTTTAGCATCAATATAAATAAAAAAAAAATAAACAAGTATGAATATTTCGAATTAGGTAAAAGTTATTACAATTCTAAACAATGCGAGAGACATAAAAAGCAATTCTAGTTCCTCTATAAAAGCGGCGGATAAAGTCTGAAAAATTGAACATTAACCTAACGAAATTTCACATGCAACGTGAGAGGACGCTACAACGTCACTGACAGTTTGTCTGCCAGCGACTGCCTGGATTGGACCGCAGCTAGTACTTTCGATGCTTTCCAACTTTTCTATTTGCTCGCCGACAAATTTCCTCTATTAGCAAACAATTTCCGATGCGGGAGCAGAAACGCGTTCATGACCTTCTACTCGGTTCGATGGTCCATTTGTTAATTTTCGCACATGACGGTTGTAAACAGGACATTTGAAACTTGAAGGAAACTTGTTTCTTGTGTCTCACGGACATATTCATACAACGGAACGGCGCGCCAGTTGTTAGACGCCACGCCTTCAAGCTAATCAGGGATCGGAAATACTAGTGCGTATGTTTTCTTCTTAATTTTCAAGCTTGCTTGTAAATTCCTATTGCAAAATATATAGGTACATGTATATACTAAAATCGGAAACAAATTTCGACGGTGTAGTAATCTTAGACAGCACCTCACTTTGATAAAGATGCTCCGTACGGTTGAGTGACTGACTTGTTCAGCATACGAAGCGTACATGCCAACGTGCATCAATGCAAAGAAAAATCGATAATTCTGCACGTAGAATACCGTCACTTACAAACGTCCTCAGCATACCTTAACTACAGCTTCTACGTGCCTTACGGTGACTGTTTCACAGTATCATATTGTCATGCGTTTGATATCTATATATAATGTGGACGTCAGACGTCCAGGAAATTTGGAATCGTCCAAAAAAAAATTCTAGGTCATGCCACGCAAGCCAAAATGAAGATCGGAGTCATTAACACGACAGCGAAACGTGCAGACACATTATGTTTCAATTGTATGCATGGCTTTTAAACCAATAACAATATATACTATCAATAGTAATAAAAAGATTTTGAAAAAATATTCCTTAACCGCACCCAAATATTGGGATAGTACTTCTGCATAGAACAACAAAAATGTGCCATAAGCTTTTGTGAAGACTTTAATTCGGGGTCTAAATTGCTTTCAGATTATATTGAAAACGTAACTGAGATATAAGCGATAAACATATTGTCTATATTTCAAGCTGGAAGCATGAGTAAGTCGATCCTGGTACATTCGAGACTGCCTCAAATAAGCAGATATGAATATATTTAGCAGATGTACAGGATGTAACAAAACACAAAGTCTGCAAGGAACTAATCACCGGGCTTACATTCTTTCGACTTTTTCGAAAATGTGTAAGGTGTCGATCAAATTGGTAACAGATCATCTATTTCTGAAACCAACCGCTAACTTCTGCATCGAAGTTCCGAAATTATCAGAAATGGCCCTGTACTCAACTTTCATAACAAAGTTATAAGAAGCATTAAGAAAATCATTCATAGTTCCTTGTACGAGAAGACATAACCTAGAACGATCTACTTTTATCTAGAGCGAGCATTTGTACCATGCAGAAGTTTCCCTGGAATTTTATGCGTACGACTTCATCATCAACTTACAGTTATATTGAATTCTTGAATATACACTGAAAAGCCAAGTGTTTGATTGTCACTTTTTTGACGGTCTGTTTGTTTCTTGCTACTACTATTCTTATTCTAAAGCTACCCTGTTTACAACTTTTTCGATACTTTTAATACAACAAAAAACGCGTTTCGCCTGTGTAATACAGAAAAGTATTCGGGAACGTGAACTGTCGCTTTTATCTAATTCTTCGTACAACAATGGCAACAATGTTGTGGCAACTATACTACAGCGTACGATGCGTCGTAACCTCAACATAATACCTTAACCCCACTTTAAAATTCTTCTACATATTTCGCCATTGTCCTATCCACTTTCGGCCTATCCGTCCGTCGGGATATGGACACATCACACTAACAGCGTCGTATTATAATAGCACCGAGGTGAAAAATGAAGGTCGACCTCTCCGTTGCCCTACTGCAATGAAGTGAATTGTCCATTGTTACTGCTGTGCTAAACTCTAATAGAATTGCTGTCGCTCTTATCAACAAATCAAGGCAAATAAATTGTTTTTAGGCAAAATACTGAACCAACAATTACTGTTTAACGCCGGGCGGTCAGGGACTGGAGGGGGTTGGCCTGCCCCACAACTTTTATTTAGCAAGCGGTTCGTCCAATGGCTTCACTCCGCGGAAAAATCCGTCGCAGCGTGCTACATATACATACACACGCACACACTGTTTTTGTTTCGACCGTACAGCCTGAAAATAGAAGAGCACCGAAAAAAAAAACGAAAAAAATATACAGTGCATATATGTGTATATAACGACGGCTGGTAACAAAAGTAAAACTGACGATCCTCGACATAGCGGTTTACAATTCCATCCAGCTCCTTGTTCCCTCCCACTTTTAAAATGAAGAAAAAAAAATTATACACTTCGTCGTGTCGAACGGTTGCCGTGAAGTTCAAGCAACTAATAACACGTCTGCTGTAATATAGACCGCGCGAAGTGTGGGGACGGCGCGTGCTGTGCGTTTACTACAAGAAAGAAAAACACATAGTGAAACACAGCAGAAGAAGAGGGATATCATTCACCGTTACAGCGCTCACTGTTTGCCGTATTTCTCCGTTGCTTACAATTGTTATTGTACGAAATACACACACAATGCACACAGAGGAAACAGACTGGACGCATGCGCGAGGGCGAGGGCTACACTTTTGTTTCAATAAAATTTCAGCGTCGTTCAATCGACAATGCTAGCGAGGGGATGAATTGAAATGATGCCGCATGGAAGAGATGTGGGTCAGTCTGCCAGCGATAAGCAGCGAGCGGATACAAATCACTGCTAACCGATCTAGCATTATAGAATTCAAGTTGTTGAAAAAAGTACTAGCAAAAAAATTAACCAATAGTATGTGGTGACAACGCTATTGCTATAAAGAAGGACAGTTGAAATGTACAGGCCCGCTGTAGTATGACGAGATCAGAACACAAAGGGGAGTTTTGGCTGTTCAATAGAGGAAGAGTAGCTTAGGCTAACGGTAGATACAAACAACGTGGTTTTCGCGCAACAGTCAAGCTCTGGTGAAAGAGCCCTTGACTCAGTTGAAAGTCATAACAGCTGGCGATACACAAGACCCGAATAGGGACTCAGCAAGTCATCATTCAGCCAATCGTCGCTGAAATCGCGATCGACCATATAGTAACTATGGGTGAAGGCTGACCCGTATCAGGAATAGCGCATGGCTCTTCATGTCGAAAAGGTCGATGCGGATGATCGTAGTGCTAGCTTGCACATGTTCACGGTCAAGCAGCTAGTGGTCCATCGATGGCAAATGATGACTTGAACCGACGGCCAAACGGAAATATACACGATTGGCAGTATTATTAGCTAAAAACTAATGAAAAAATATGCGCAATGTCCTTAACAAATGCCACCAGTGTATACACCATAGAATTAGTCAATATAAATAAATTAGATTTGAACCAAAAATTGTTATGAATCGCTGTGACTTTTACACATACGCGCAAAATGTCTATATTTACGACGGTAAACAGTTTGTCTTTCAGAAACTGCAGGAAATTACTGAAATAGCCAAATAAAGTCTGGCTAAAGTGATGCTAAAGAAGCAAGTATGGTACTCTACGTTTGACCCAAGGGCTAACGGCCCGAATGCGTCTTCACGCTGGCTACGGTAACCACGGTAACGACGCTGTTTATCACAGCCACAGTTATGTGTATCAGCCTTCTGTTTGTATAGCTGAGATTATATGCGAACAGCAAAAACATGGTAAGTTCGAGACACAGACATCCTAAGCAGGACGCAGTTACGCCACATAGCTAGCTAAACATTACTCCTATAGTACTCTCGTCATCTATCAAAACCATTATATGGCTGTTCTCAAGCTTAAAAACATGGATTCTGTTTGCCATGCCGCAACTTCCAAGTCAGTTCGAGCTATAGTGTTGGAAGCTGTATTGATAGAGAGAATCTAACAACATTGGACGAGTCATTAAATACGTGCGTTAGAAATTTCTGCTTTTTTTGCCCGCTACAGGCAAAGACGACGGGATTGAGATCTCGTAATAGACAAAACCTTCGAAAATAAATCTTCGAAAGAATACGTACGAGGATACCCAGTATGTTACTTTCGAGCAAATCCTCGTTACACCAGAAAAGAAGCACAGTGAGCAAGATGCAAACCATAAAGTATTGAAATTTTAAATTATTTTAATATTAGATTTTGAAATTAAACTTTATAGGAGAGCGTATCAGAAGCTCCGTCATTCCACACCTTCCAGTTCTGGTGATCAAATGTCGACCAGCACATCATCATTGCACGAAGTTCCGATACTTTCTTCTTTGGTCCGCTAAGTTTGACTTCTGTTTCACGCATGACCAGGTGCCCGCCAATATTCAAAGTTTCTGCCTCTTTAAAAGATGTTTTGAGACCCTTGTCTTGATCCTGGTCGGGCTTGTCCAATTCAAAGGTTTTGTCAAGCCACATCTGGTTATGTAAAGCGTTTGATTTTGTAGATCTGTCAAGTGCTTGAGGGTCATTTTGGCCCAATTTCGCGTGTGGTGACGTGACTGTGGGGGGCTTGAAGGTTTTAAGTTGTGCTGATTGGTTTTGTCCATTTTTCATTCGTAAGTCTGGAGCTTGTCCGGAAACAGGCTTGGCGAAGTCAAGAGTTCTGCGATCCTCATTACGAGGCCTTGTTTGATCTTCGGAGCTGGGATGCTTTGACATTCCCCACCCGAATTCATCTTTGTTTCTTCGTGTAGGTTTCCGGCTTTTCGACAGGCTGGTGGGCGTTGGAATCTTGGAAAGAATCTTGGATGGGCTGGTTCGCTCAAGAGTTTTTGAAGGTTTAGCCTGTTTTGGATTTGACACGAGTATCTCCTTTTCGGCTGTAATCATTGGTTGAAGGCCGGTGGTTTTCGGAAGATTCTGCGTGGGATCATATGGAGGGCCCTCGAAGCTGTGACTCTTTGACTGTCCTACTGTAGCGTGTCGTAACGAGTGGGCATCGGCACTTGCAAGCCCATTCTTATTTTGTTTTGTCGGTTTTCGGCTCTTTGAGGGGCTAATAAGACCCTTATTTCTCAACAGATTAGCCGGAATCCCCGACAAACTCGTAGTTTTTCGGTGTATTCCAGCATTCGGATCCTTCAGATTCTTTCCAGCTTCCTTACTCAATGTTTGGCTTTTTGACTTTGATGAGCCCTTAGACCTTCGCCAAAATGCTGGCTTGTCATTTCTGCTACGCTTATCTTTGGTTAATCTGGGTATCTCCCTTTCGGGTATTACCAGGCCATCGGGTGCTTTGATAATAGGCTGTAGGTCGGCGGTCTTTTGAACGCTTCGCGTGTAATCGTTTGAGCTGGGGCTCCCGACATGCAGACCTCCGAAGTGGGAGTTATCCTGAAATTTTTGCGCTGGTTGTCGGCCTTTTGATGAACTCACAGTTTGTCGCGAGGGTATTAAAATGCCCTTTTTTTCGGGCGTCTGTGTTCTCGGCTTAAGCTTCTTCTTACATAAGTCCTCATAAGTTATACGTAGCCCCTGAATGTCACCAGTCTTTGGACGACTATGACAGTTTTGCGCGGCATCGATATCGGTTGTGTAATCTTCTGTGTCAAACTCCGTTTTACCTAGCGCTACGAAAGTTGCCTCCGTATCGGTATTGCTACCTGAGCCTCGCACTTTGTTCGCGCCTGCGTCGGTTAGACTTCGATTTGCCAGAGCAACATCCGTCGTTATACTACCATTTGGTAAAGGGGCGACGACGTCCCTAATCTTGATCGCTTCCGAAGGTGAACACGCCATAGCTGACGAACCTCTTCGTAAGGGATCTAGACAAGGCGGTCGTGGGCGACCAGCCACAAGGATAGCATCGAAGTGCCGGGTATTTCCACCCAAAGCAGGATCAAGTGATGTGAGCGTATCGAACGTTCTGTCGCTTTGAAGTGTTTGGGTATCGATCGGATGTATTTTGTCTGCAGGCAATTGACCCTTCGCTGGGTATGGTTTGTCAGGTTCGCATTTTTCCAGAGACGGTTTCTCTCCACGATCTTTTCTTTCGCGTAGCGGCTCCTCGGGGCGTCGCTGTTTAGCAGCCGAAGCATTATCGAGAGGCCGCATCATTTTAGGTGATGGCGTCTCTGCTACACTTGTTCTCTGGGCAGCTTTACCTTCTCGCAATGGTTTGTTTTCTAGCGGCTTGTCCGCCTTGCCCACCGGCTTGTCGTTTTTGACAGAAGACTCCTTCTGTACTATACCTCCAGGCCGCTTTAGGTTAGCTAGATTTTGTGGGGAATCTCGACGGACTTCCTGCTGTTTTCTTGCTCTTTCTGGTGATAGCTTGTGCGAAGTGTTGCTATATTTGGGTGTTGTCGAGATTCCTGACGATATCCTCCGTGATGCCATGCCTTTTTCTACTTCTCCTAGAACATTGTCCGAAGAAATACTTAGTTGCGCGTCTCCGCTCGTCGATGGTCCGCTTTCTAGAATCCCCGTGGAACTTCTTAGGGGTTCTGGAGCTCCTGATGAGACTCTTACAATATTTTCGGGCATACGGGGCTCATTGCGATGAGGCGACTGTTTGGGAAAAGAGTCTCTATGTTGTTTTCTCACTATCTCTATACATCCGGGAGAAACTGCTTGAGAGCTGCTGCGTCGGGATGGCTTTGCCTGTGAAGGTCCTGCGAAAGGCTTTTGAGGTTCGCTGCGTTTGGCTGCTTTTTCGGAATATCCCGGCGAAACTACGTTAAAGTCATTCTGTTGTGGTAGCTTTTGTGAGATTTTTGGTAAAAGTCCACTTGAATCTATCTGCATTTCTAATTTTTCGATATTTGCCATAGGCCGCTTGTCAATTAAGACTCCAGGCTGTCGAGATTTTTTTAAAAGGCTTTGGGGGGATTTAGCCATATCGCTTCTGTTAGAGACTTTACGAGAACTAGCGACAAGTTTTGATTTTCTAGAAACGTCTTTAGACGCTTTTGCCTTCCCAGTCTTTATTGAAAACGTTTTTAAACTTTTTCGTTTAGGATCGAGAATCTCCTGGCGCGAATCCACCTTTTGTTTTGGTTTCTCTGAGCCTACTAGAGAAGCTTTACAGATATTAGATAGATAGTCTGACTTTGCGGGAGATCCCGGCGTTGCCTTGAAACCGTCTGCTGGCTGGATAGATTTCTGCTCAATGCCTGGTGAAATTTCTGAAAGACCATAAGGCTGCCGAGATTTCCGATCCAAGCATGTTGCAGCATCTTGTTGCGGTGATTCTGCTCGTTCATCTTGTTTCAGCTCCAATCCTGAAAGTGCTGACTTGCGAGAATCAGGCTTTGTTTCTTTCGAAAGTTTCTGTGACGATTTACCGCTTGGGACGGTTTTTTGCTTTGAATACGCTTGACCACCTGGAGAATATTTTCCTTGACTAGGCTTTTCAACGATTTTATTACGGGGTAAACCTTTATCCGCGAACAGCTTCCATGGTTTTGATTTTGACTTTGATTTTGGAGAACCCCTTTTACTCTTAGGTTGCTTATTTGTTTGCTCACTAATTTGGCCTTTGTCCCAAGATGGTTTCCATTGTTTAGATTTGGGGGGAGGACTTGAAGGTTGTTTCGCCTTACTAGGCCTATCACCATTCTCTTGAAGCGGGCTTTTATCTCCAATTAGCCTCCGCTTTTTTATATTTGAGGAAGGACTTGGAGACCCTGCTATACGAGCAGACTTTCTAGTTATTTTCTCATGAGGCTGATCTTTATTACCAAAAAGCTTGCGTAGTTTCGACTTGGTCGAAGGGCTGGGAGAACCTTTTTCACTGCCAGGCTTTTCATGAATTTGGCCTTTATCAGCAAACAGCCTCCACCGTGTTGACTTTGCCGTTGGGGTCGGCGAACCCTTCTCATCAACAGGCTGTTTAGCTTCCTTGCCACAAGGCAGACCTTTATTTGAAGCAGGCTTTTTTCGTGTTGTTTCAACAACGGGACTTGGTGAACACTGTTCTATACCTGGCTTTGTAGATTTTCTATGTTGGAATCGGCTTGACTTTCCTGTAGGCAGCTCCCCGCTGCTTGGTTGTCCTTTTTGGCCAATGTCTTTGCTCGTCCTTGCAGTCTCACTGTGTTGTTCAACTCGATCGGGGTCTCGTTCTTCTAGAGACTCTTTAATTTTGCGAAGACGTCGGTTTAAATCACGTTCTTTGCTTGGCGAATCTCGACATAACAATGCCAGACAGTTTTTCAACAATAGATTTTCTAACCGAAGTTCACTTGGACTTCGTGCCCGAGTCGACAGCTGGTTAATAGGATTCACACAGGAAGAAGGTTTCTGCCTTAGCGTTTTTAGGTCTTCTACGTGCTTCTCAAGTACATCCCGGATATCCGGACATACTTCGTGCAAGCTTCGATCACCGTTTACCTTGAGACATTCCAGTTTTAACTTCAAATCCTTCTCGGCGTTTTCAATATGTTGAAATAGCTTCTCGTAAACTGCGCCATCAGGTACCGTCCCACTCGATACATAACCCTCTGTAGGAGCCGCGGAGCAGCATACGCCGCAGGTATTTACAAGTTGCACATCCGAGCCTGGTTGAGATTTTCCTATGGCAACCTGCACGGTCACTGTAGCTGCTGCGTTTTTCTTTGGGCCGAGGTCCTCAGCATTGGCACTTCCACTATTCTTACCCGATTCTTTGCCGGTTCCACTCACTTGAGGCTTGCCCTCTTTATCGACCACAGCCATTGCTTGGCCGATAATTTGGTCTGACAGCGTTGTCTCTCCGGCATCGTTTTCGAGATACCGTTTGAGCATAGCTTCTGACTTTGCCACCCTCGCCTTAAAATTTTCGTGATGACTGTGCGCTTCCTTTTCCTCATATTCACGACTAAGGCTGTGCAACCTTCGAACGTCTAGATTCATGTAAACTTGGCGGTTGTCGTCGATACGCTCAAATCGCTGAATGTCCTCAGGGGTCAATTTCTGCTCGTGTGTGAGTTTCTATGACGTTTCGAGATGCCTACTGGCCAGCTTTTCGGCATGATTGATATTCAGCTTGAAGTCTGCCCGACGTGAGAAATTGTCGTCGACATCCGTTATTCGCGGAGTCGGCTCAGCATCTTCCGATGTTGATCGTTCGGATAATAATGGGGGACTACGTCGTTCGAGACATGACGTCAAAACGACCTTAGGTTTCTCTTCCTTGCGAGTCACGTCCGTACTCGCGAGTCACTGGTCACGTCAAACGATGCGTACGTTACCGGAGTTACATTATTTAAACAATCAACTCTTTGGTCAATTGGGCTTATTGTTTACAGATTCTTCTAAATTCATTCACTAAATATAGCGGTGACGAAGTGCTGTAAAAGCATGAAACATTGATGCAACAGCTAAACGAATTTTCATAGATAATTTGATTTTGTGACTACAATACAAAGTTATAGGTGGCCGTAGCCCAAAGGGGTACAACGCTATGCAAGGTGAGTAGAAGTCGTGATCGGATAGCATGTCGAAGCTTAACACAATTTGGATCATAGCTACCTTTCGGCAAGTGAGTTGTTATGTTGCCCGGAAAAGAGGTTTACGATGCCCAATCCAAAAAATGCACCGAGTAATTTGCTTGTAACCGAAAATTTAAGGTAAATGTGAATACAGTTGGCCTCGTCTATTGTTTCTAGGCTCGCAGAAACATGCGATCGTGGACCTGACGGCTAGTTCAAAACTCTTACGGAATACGTTGTTTAAATCCAACGCTATAGTTTAGATAATCAAAGAATCAACGTAATCCAATCCTAAATATCGAATTGCCTTTGCCTGGCCTTAGACAAATATGCTGGAATATGTCACATGCTCAATGCTCGTTAAGCTTGTTTTTTACATACAGATTGACAAGAATGTCTCTTAACGTTATCATGCCAGCGTAAGATAAGTTCAAACAGTTATTTAATGTAAGGGGTAGCCAGCTGATAAGAAGCATTGGTAACTGTTTTGTAATACCATTTGTATGAAAATGCAGGTTCATGACCGCGTTGCCTTTTCTAAATATTTATACCTACACTTACCCCGCAATACATTCGTTTTCAGTGAGTTTCAATCAATCATGTCGAATATTTAACTCTTACATCATGTCAATGTCATGCATACACAGATCGATAATAATCTGATCCCCGATAACTAACCGATTTGGTCTAATATGTCGACAGCGAGCATAGGGTAACGGCCCCTTCGCCGACTATACAGTGAGTACTTAGCTAGCCATAAAAGCGATCTAGTAGACTACAGTCGAAGTTAAACGACGTCAAGATCCACGTTAATGATGAGCTTTGAGCTCACACAGCAATCTGTTGTACAAAAGATGGGAATGTTCGAAGCTCAAATTTTCGCGCTAAAACGCCGTAGTCGGTTCGCCGTAAGTACATAGATTCAGTATATCTGGGCATAGACGATTGCTTAGTGAACTGCCTCTGATGGTTACAGTCAAGAAGCTAGCCATTCGGCCCCGAGCTACTTTCGCACGTGTCGTAGCAGCGCAGCGCATCGCATCGCATCGCACCCAAACACAGTTGCCTTCAATTCGCTGGCAAAGGCCAGGAGATGAACGATCACTAAGCGCCATTGGATAACTTAGCTTGGTCATGTAAGCACCCGCCATACCGTCGCGCAATCAGCAGCGGCAGACAACAGGTTTTGTTGCTGGTGCTGGCCATTGGCTGAATTCGGACCACGTCCCGGTGGCTGATTGCCCGCCGATGTCCTGAAATGTTAGCGCTTGATGAAGATAACACGAATTTCATGACGAGATACAAGACCCGGAAGAGCAAGCAGCAAGAAATGGCAATCAAACCAGTCTACAGAGCCCAAATGACTGCTTTCGTCCCGTGAAACCATAACCGACGGACGTCGTCTGAATGGCCCACGGTGACCAGCACGGCGACCCCGGACTAACAGGCACTTGTCTCTTGCTGGACTAGTCGGCAGTTGGTTGGCGAGGTAGTCGGGACAGGCCAAAAGGGCTTTACCTGGTTGTCAAATCAGCGAAGAAAAGGACGGAGTAAAGAGGAGTCGTAGGGTGGGGGACTTGCTTGTTGCGGATGGATCCGACGTCTTCATATGTATTTGGTAATATGCCCTGGTTCGGACTTCTAGCGAAAGAGAAAGCTAAGCACCATTCAAAACAAGACGGTACGAACGAGCCATGCCCATATCTGCCATCAATACTGGCGGTAACAGCGGATTGACATGGTGGCAGCGCTTGCAATCACCACTTAGCTCGCGCAGGAAATCGCGGCGAACAATAGACTTTAGCTAGGATCTCTGCCAAACAAAAGTGAAATGCAAGTTGATTCGGCGCAAAACACTGAGCAGACGCTGGTTTTTTAGGTCTGTCACCATCCAATATACAATTGAGGTCTGAATGTGTTTGTGTGTTGAAGGCAGCTGAATGGAAAGCGCGTTAATAAATCGGGAGCATAAGACATCGTGCCATGTAGAAACAGCGACCTATGACGACATCTTGACTGATTGAGCCAGCACATTAGGTATATCCCGTCAATACACATGAACGCCGCAACAAATGATCAGCTCCAAGGCTGTAAATATCGTAATTACTGCACTGGTAGCATCGTCAATTTCCACACATGCGTCTAAATACACATAATCTTGCCTGTCTGTTAATGATTCCGAGTGGTCCTGATTTATCAGTTCGCTATCCCGCTACACGTGCTATCCTACCACAGTGTCTTACGTTGCTGGCATAAGTTTCAGGGGCAAGGGGCCGGCGATAAAATGAGGATTTCGGAAAGTAGCGATTTTAGGGATCACATCACACTTAGTAAGACCCGCTGAGTGCAAATGACGGAGCAAATTCATCTTGTTCCGACCATCGTCATACAATTTTACTGCCCAGCTAGATGTTTGTCGCTCATCAGTCTGCCAGACTTCGTTTCACTATTGCACCGAACTACTGGTTCAATCATCGATATTGTTTCATATACGGTGATCGCGCTCGATCCTGTGTGAAGTATCCGTTTGCTATTCACTGAAGAAGACGACGATGCCAAGGATAGTTCACGGAACAATGCACGTCAATCAGACAAAAACAAACAAACAACACCTGTGGCGGCGCCATAGTTTACCACACATATATGGCAGTAGACAGAGTAATAATTCGGATCAAATTGTCTGTGGCCGGACACAGGGAGAGATCTAAAAATGGATAGCTTGATTAGGCAAATATTTGGAAATACCTATGCTTTATATCTCTTAATGCGATGCAACAAGTAATTTGAAATACATGTCGCATCTTCATACAATTATCTAGTCAGCGTTCTGAAATACTGCTTAGCTTTAGTAGGTGAACTCAATTTGACAAAGATCATTGTCTGTATGTTTAACGCGTATACCGATGCTTGTATGTTCAGGCGTTTCAGATGATGACGTCTCTAGAAATGCTTCCGTCAAATTTTCCTATCGAACGCAACAGTTGCCACTATCGGGATTCTGTCCTGCCAGCGAAAATAGTAGGACATTTGAGCGAAAATCTAAAAAAAAAAAAACATTTAAAAGCCACCTCTCAATATGATAAATAATATACGAGCATCTACGTACATCTGCGAGAGTATCCGTGACACAGGTATTGCATTCAAAACCTGTTTTGCCCTTATTTTCACTGCTTCTGCCAATGAGAATCGTTCCGTACGGTGCACCAGTGCGCTAGGCTTTCTGCCAAGCAAACTGCATTAAAAATAGAAATCGCATATTCTTTTTTTTTGTTAAATTATTATCATATTATATATAATACATTATATAACTATATAACCTTCCTAGGTATCTCCCTCGACCTAGCTATATATACATCGATATATAGCTCGGCCTATATTCAGACTCAAGTTCGACACGCGCTTAATTTTTCATATGCATCTTCCAGTGAAAAGAAGGTAAATGTTGCGCATTGATTTGCTTTGGCAGCGAAACTATCTTAAACCCCTATTGCAAACGAACGGAACGCGATCAACGTAATTGTACCAATCTGTCCCGACAACAACAATTGAGCTTGTGATATACCGCAGTATATTATTATTTATTATAATCTAACAGCGAGTTCATTATTCAGGCAATGTTACCTAATAAAAGCACACCCTATCGGCTGCCCGACCCGGAGATATAATAACTAATCAGCAGTTATACCAAAGCAAATTCAACATAAACCAAGTTCTCCAAGCTCCAGCTCTCTGTAACCAATCTACCCTGTCTATCTGTAACCGAACATTACATGCAAATATATCTGTACGATATACTGTATAACGGAAACAGATATCGTGCATATACATTTGCACGTTAACTCTCTGTCTGTATGTTCAGTGTTCTTGAAGGCGCCTACAACAAATTAAACAAATCTTGTTTTTTTTTTTTGCATTAGAATCACGCGCTCTTTTTCAATGATGAAAACAACGTAGTAAAAAAAGAACTTATTCGCGAAAAATTATAGTTCGTACCTTTACGCTGCTCGTGGTTTCATCATGCTAGTTTTGCTTGATCCTAGAAAGCTCGATCTTTATTCTGTCTTCCTTGTGTAACATTATAATTTTACTATTATTACCCTATTATAATAGTGTAGAAGAATAGATGCGTACACGACTACATTGGGGCCGTACATACTAGACATGCTGGTCGGCTACGTCAGAACTGCTATAATTGTTATTTTCGCGCTCTCCTTTTCCACAAAGACAAAAAGCGTGAAAATCGAACCTGGTGGTTAATCAATAAAGCGCAATATGTTAAAAACAAATATGGTGTCCACCTGTCTGTAAACACGGTACCAAGCATTTCGCATGATGCCCTAAGAGATTTCAAGCCATAATTCTATATATCCAGGGCGCGTAGTGTTATTCCTGTCCCCTTCGTATTAATAAATTGTGGCTTAACAAAACAAAACGAATATGTACAAATCGAGCAAAAAAGAAACAACAGAAACCACAAACAAAATATACGTTTGCCTGTATCATATTCGACAGCAGAACCAGTCATATAACTCTACGATCGAATGAGTATCCGGTTGAATTTAACAAAGTGGTCGATCACCATTAGCTCAAGTACTATTACACGTTACGATGTCCTATTGTTAGGCAAAAACATACAAATTTCTGGGTTTTTGCCCAACGCAAGCGGCAAGGGCACGTATGTTCGGTTCGCAGGCAAGCAAATTTGTAGTCGTCGCGTAAATCATAGCGGAAAGCTGATCCAATGGCAAAAACGAAACTTAACTTTCATATAACTATCAGTTTTCAACCTGTTATCCGCCGTTATAAACTTCTGCTTTTTATTGAACAGTTTTGTAAAAACGCGTTATTTGTACCCGGGGCCTACACTGTGGAACAACTCGTTAAAATTCGTTCTTGGGCCAAAGCATTTGTCGTGTCTGAGTGTGGCTGATGATACTGGCAATGCGGTGACAAAGCCGCATTCGATACTTTGATGGAAGTTTATTCTATAGACAAACTAATCTAAACTAACAACGGATATACGATGAATAGCAATAAAGCTGACTAACATAAAGCACAATACATTTTTTTTTCTATATAACTTCAATGTGTGGTATCTGCACGCAATAAACATTTGGTACTTCAACTTGTAAAGGCATCCTAAGAAATCTTACGAAGTTGACCCTCTAACATGTGAGCACCCTGTTCCTTACAGACCGGCAGAGGTTACATCTTTACTAAAAATTTGTTTCAACGTCTCGAGTAGATATACATGCACGGTATGCTACGTACATATTACATTGCACTACTATACATCTTAATAATAAGAAAATTCTATTGTTCATGGTTCAATGTAGACAAGCAAATTGGGTGCAGTGGCGCTATAGTGTTCTATCCTACGTTTTACTACACGTAAAACCAGCGATATTATCCGGTAGGCTGAATATTTTTTTACACAGGACCCGCCAATATCATAATGGATGATAGGCGTCCATTTGTTATTGGCTCAACAACAGCAGAGCTCGCTTCTAATTTGATAAAAGTGGATATTTTTCGACAAAAATGCTACTTGCTTTCAAGCTAATACAGTCAAAAAGATTACCATATCATACTTTAAGATAATAACCGAGTGTCATTATAAATGATATAGAATGCGATGCCTCCATTAAAAAAGCTCAATTGGATTTATAAAAAATAACACAGAAACAGAGCCTTTAGCATCATATGGCGCCAACAACGATGGCCACGGGACTGACAACGCGGACCTTATGCCTTTTAGTAGAGAAATCTAAAGGACCCCAAAGCCGGAAGTTATAAGGCACTCTGGGCCGATAATCGGTCAAGGATGAAAAACCTGAATCGCGCTCAGAATACCTACTACGCATCTTCCGTTTATATGATGTCGCTATTCATCAACGTTAAGGGTAATTGAAATGTATTCGTTCAAATTAACATGGAGAAAGGTTGTATCTACGCCAAAAAGAATTTCGCGCGCGCTCGGGTTCTTATTGTAGCTACGCAGAAAACAACTGTAGACCCTGTAAGTACCTCCGAAATACGGTTTATAGAAGGCAGCCTTTGATTCTCATTTGCTTAAATGCAACCAACTTATCTTATAAGTAATAGTTATCTTATAACTATTACCCCATACTTATAGATGAACTTTATCCAACGTTTTCATTGTAATGTGGCCGATCTCAAATGAGTCAAAGTACTATTATTGCATGTTGGCCGGGTGTTGCTACACGCTAGAAACGATAATCGCCTATGACGAATGGCTTGTAAGGACCTAGCTGACCTACAATCGCGATCAGGATGATTCAGGAGGTCATTTTTGTGGTGATATGACTGTATATGCCGTAACTTCGTTCAACAGCCATTAGTTTATGTTGTCTATTGTAAAGGACTACTTGCAACGACTTGGCCGAAAAAAAAAAAACAATTTTGCCTTCGCCTGGTCGAAGGTCGTCGCCATTTTTCTCTTGCGTGATTAGGGTGCCTCAGGTATATTCTCTGTTTCGAATTATCAATAACGTAGAACAACATTCGCACAAACAACAACAACACAAGGAACCTAACAAAAAATAGCTAATTTTAAAATCTGCAGTATATCTAGTGGAATGAGTCCGCCAGTGTGTTTATACATTATTATGTAAATGTGCAAATATTATATAGCTACTATATAATATATATAGCTACTAAATATTTATATAGCTATTTATATAGCTACTAAATATTATATGGCTACGACTCCTAGCGTTGTAGCCATTTTACCAGTCGCGTCTGGACATATGGCGACCGGTAATTCAGGTGAACGATTTGAATATTATACTTCATATATAGTATAGTCACCAGATAACTTTGGCTGGCTAAGTTTCAAAAATTAACATGAAGCCCGAGGCAACTTGCGAGATTCGAGAACATACGATCAATTGGTTATATAGATATTAAGCTTTTATCAATTATTTTTGGATTATTTTTCTAACATTGTCGTCAGTCACATGTCATTTGGGCTCCGTTCAGAACCTCCTACATGTGCCTCTTATTCAGCATTCGCAGCCTAGCCTGCATCTACCACCTAAAACACCTACATTTATGACGAGAATATACATAATGTCAAGTCGTAAATGTAGGTGTTTTAGGCGACAGATAAGGGCCAGACTGCGAATGCCGAACAAGAGAGGCACACATAGGAGATGCTGAACGGAGACCCAAATGATACGCTGCTAACATATATATGGACATATGTATATCTCAGTCTGTCGAAAAAGACCATACTTTAGAAATAGCTTGCCTTCATCGATTTCAAACGTTTGGATTACAAGATAAACATGGCTTATGATGTAACCCGTTGCCTTTTTGGTAACATACTTACTAATCTCATAGAAATTTGAATGAATGAAATCTTTTTCCAATTATTTTCGGTGTATTGCAGCAGCTGGCTAAATCTGATTTCGTTGAATCGCTATATAGGAACGTCAAACCAAAAAAGAAAGTTTGACAGAAACCCGCAAATCGTCCATGATCGATTGTTATCATAGATCCACAATAATACTGCTAGAGCCCAGACCTTCGCACGTGGCATGGCGGTGGCTGGACGAATTCTGACTCGCATCAAAATTGAGGGGCGGTATGGGGCGCATTACTAATTATCACGCTACATTTTCATATAGATTTGAATGGAAATCAAGGTATCTCTCATAGTACTCCGCTAGCGAAACACATGATACTGCTGTAGTCAAAATATAATCAAGAAACATACTTTAATCAAATGGCTATATCCAATCAGGACGAATACAACAAATGATCAAACTCGTAAGTGCTTTTTTATAAGCACAGGGTTGGTGTGTGTGTGTCTAACTCACTGCAGTCGTAGCAGATTCTAATTACTATTTAGATACGGATGTGGGGTCTAGCAGTCGTCTAACGTAGAGCATAACAGCTCTACCCCCCCTGCAGAAGCAAGTCGTGTGGTAAGTGTTCCTCATCTAAAGCTTCTGCCTGTACGTTCTGAAGTCAAGGTACCCCCCACTGGGTGAATTGCATTTGAAAATGCCGTTGTTATAACACGAAACAGGATCTTGTCGGTTGTCTACGACAAAGCTATTTGAAATGCATATATATATATATATATATATATATGTATTGTCCATATTACTTAATCGTTCGAACCTAACAACACTATTATATGCACTTCATCTAAATCCGACTAGCAAGCAGTAAATGTGCCGTCGCATTGTTACTAATAAACACGGATTTAATTTCTACCCTCCTTCACAAACAAAGGTTGAAAACAGCATGAATCCGATGGGTGTAACTTGGTAACAAACAATAAGACCCAGATACTGGGCTGCCACCATTCATATCAAAATGGGCAAAAAGCCAGTAACGTATGATTAAAACAACATGCAGAAGCGACCCCCCAGCAAACGGGACTTCGTGCATTTGATTCGGACGAGCTGACAGATAGTGCATACGGTATAATTACAGGATTGCTGAATGGACGCAGCCAGACAGTGATTAACGTATCAGCATGAACCGTCGCCTAACCGTAATAAAACGGCCAGATAGAAAGGTAACTAACGATGGATACTGGCCACTACCATTGGCGAGACCAAACAATCGTTCGGACATGTGACCCGTCATATCGGCTAGTAATCTCCAAAAGGCAGCTTTCGATTTCGGCTTTTGATCTCTGCTAATGGATGCCTTAGCAGCGATTAACCGTTACATCCGCACGGGGACGGTGGAGTGATGAAATTCTATTATCTAGATAGTAACTATTTTATTATTAGAAGCAGATATTAACAAATACCCATGATGAACGGTGAGCTTTCATTGAAGGCGAGCTTTGGCCGCAGGAGACTTGTCAGGATGAACCGAAACTGCTGCAAGGCCAAAAACCACTACAATCAATTAAAGGCGGACGACGTATATGACTCTGCCGGATACTTCAATTAGGTTAAATTCACTTCTGAATAGAAATGTGGCATCGTTTGTCCTGTAAGAGGATGCTTTTCAGCTTGTGGATATCCCAAATGATAAACGAACGCACCGTTCACGCCTGGGCAGATCGTCGAAAATCGTATTACTTACTACTTCGTTCTGAAGGAAGATAGGCTAACCATTTCGGCACCGCCTGCGCAATGCAAATATCCTAACGGGGTCAACTGGTTGTCCTCCGAATCTATTCCATGGCAATTTCATGGGTTACTTGAAGTCAACTTTTTGTACAGCTTCTCCCCTTTCCCCTCTATTGAAATAATACTTTGAACTCAAAAGGGCCGCTACGGCCTCAGACGGAACCATCACCAGCTACATGAGGCCATTGAACATGTCCTGTTTCAACTGACACGTATTCTTCGTTCTGAAACATTCTTTGCCAGTACGAGAAAGCCGTTCGTGACCAGTCTCTGCCCAGTAGTTAACGGCACGTAAATGCTCCCAACGACCGTTGTCGTTACTAGTGGCTAACAGAATGCCAAGAAAAAAATATATATAAATACTTGTCACTTTTTTTGTACCAACTGCTGTTGTTGATGCTGTTGGCTTAAAGTCGAAATTCGGTCCGGATTTGCTTCGTTTATTTGCCGTGTCCAGAAGTGGGCCACACAGAAGCCATCAGCAAATAGCAGAGGTGACCCACAACTGCTGATGTAGAGCCGGCCAAAAAGGCCAGGCACAGCCTCTATAAAATGGAACTGTAATAGCAGTAATGTTGCCTACAGAAGAAAATCGCTGGCGTCTAGCGACGATGCTGAACGGTCCAATCTGCGGAGGGATCTTTGGGTCCGAATTCAGGGCTCTGCAGAATTGCGCTTTTTCGCGGTAGAAATAGCAGAAAATAGGCGGTTCAGTGGCAGGAGCATTAGCAGCTGCTAGAAGCGGCAAGAAGCTTACGCTTCGATGGTGCTTTTCCGTAGATTAAACAAGAGAATGCGTGAACTTGTATAGTTGACGAATGTTAATGGCGGCAGTTTGGTCAGAACGTCTCGTGTATATTCCCGTAAATTGTATTGCTTCTATGTTACTTTGCTAGGTTAAAGACAACTTTAAAAACAAGACAAGAAAAAAGTTTATTAGAATACTTTATTTTCCCTATTATCTTAATGATGTGAGATAATGATTGAGAAAAATCTAAAAAACCCTTAGTACTTGACAAGTCATTGAAGCGCTATAGATGACCATGTCTCGACGAATGGCAGAAATTCATACGAGCCAATATCGAGGGAAAACATTTTTGATAGTATCCTTTCGCTGAACACCAGATGTAACGGTCAGATGCTGTACTTCCACACAGCCCCACTTGAACGCGCATTTATAGGGTTAGTTTCGGTACACACGATTTCTTCTATAAGTACATGGATGCGTGTAGTGTTATACCCGACTTCTGTAAAAATGGAGCGATATCCGTCAAATGTTGGCCGCAGCCGTCCTTGAGGTTGCTGTGTATCGAAAATTCTGAAATCGTTGCAGGGGCTAAAAGGGTCGATAGTCAGGACTTAGGATAAACTTAGCCTTCAATAACTGTTAGCGGTGACATTTACTGGGGATTACTAGGCGCTGGTGCAAAAGGCGCTGACCTGCTTCACATGGAGCGTGCTTAAAGACACAATTAGCATTATGACAAACCAGCTAGCGTTGGTGTGAAAATTGATTTCTTGTCCTTGTTTCGGGAATGATTTGTTTTCACTGAAATGTGTAAAAGATGCCCGCAGTTACCGTGTGCGACGAGCTTCGACACAAGGGTGTCAGCCCTCCGGCCCCGAAAAAGAAACGCCTGGAAGGTTACTCTGTCACCGCGTTGACAGCTATCGTAGTGGGCAATGCTATTAAATAGGTATTACCGAGAAAACCTTTTCACACAACTATACAAAGCAAGGCTGCCGCTGCAACGACAGTGGATTCTCTAAATAAATGCCAAAGCCCGACAGAATAATAACACAGTAAAAGCAAATTATAATCATTAACAGCCATGAAACATTTCGGGCTCCAAATAATACAGGCCGCTACAATTACATAATAACAGCACCGATTTCTTTCAGCACTGTAAGAATGTTGAAGCATTACTTGGAACTGGAAGTTGAAGCCCTAGCTCGACCAGAAAATTCTAGTAAGCTAAGTGCTCAGTACCTTTTTTTTCCATCCTCGATACTATTAAATCTATATGTTGATTCTTATTCGGTACCCTTGCTTGGTAGGAAATAGGCGCTGGTGTAGGAGTGTAGTGTCTTCTATATGCTCATCTGGCAGTGCCTAAGAGTACAACATAAGCCTTTGGAGCGTAATTACCATTTTGCTCTAGAAACGTTTTTGAACGTCTTACGTAAACCTGTCTCAGAACGTGACAACGAGACGAAATGTGTGCCATGTTCATTGTATAGTATAAGCGGTCGTGCCTTTGCGGGACGAGTTTGCCTATTCTTGCAGATCTATTCAGACGATCTAGTAGCAACTTCCAAGTTTGATCACTTGAAGTCATTGAAATGTGTAAGGAGTACGTAGGCTATATTATTACCATCGTAAACAAAGGAGAATACAGTTTGGTAATCATCTCCTTCACTAGAAATATGGATGATGTACAATGTTTGAAAATTTAGTATTTGCAGGTTAAACGCTTCCGGACGCGCATCGTCCCCACTAGAGCGCCAGAAGCAAGAGCAAAAACTGCCACGCTAGCGTTACATCAGCAAATCTGTAACGAAACGCAGTCTGGTGTAGCTGTTCATGGGCCTTTTTGACCTGTACATATTTGAAGGTCGATTGAATACTTCTTCGTAGGCCAATATTAGAACATAAATGGAATAAAGACAATATCTGTTGCACAAACTCGAATCAAAACACTGTTTTAACTAAATAATACCGAATTAATTATTTAAAAAACAATTGAGCCATTTATAATATTTTCTTTCTTAGATTAAAATATCTTAGTATAAATTAAGCGTAGTTAAAGGTAGCATGTAGGCACTAACTCAAACGTCTACAGGATTGAGCTGCCTGAAGTGTCAGCCTAACCTTTGTAGATCTAATGAAATTAGCGATCAGCAAACGACTCTTACGAACATCTAGGTTGAGCGGTATACAGGCTGTAACCTTAAGTTATTCTGGTCGTTAGCCACAATTATAGGCAGTATTTAGGCACGTTTTATCAGCAACGCCATGCCAGGAGCTCTCAATGGATTCCAGTGTGTATATCTCTATAGTTGATGAAGTCGGCGATATGAGCGGAACACGTGGTGGCTAGATAGGCGGTTGCTCTTTACGGCATCCTTCTGTCGGATCAAATAAAAGCGCTGTGACGTTTTGAAGCATCGAGGATTTGTCCGTTGACTTGTCCTAAATTGTTGTTTTTGTGCTTTCGTCAGCCTGAATTTCTAGAAACTTTTCTCTTCGGAAGATAAGTCGAAGACTTTTACTCACATTTGAGTGCCTCAAAATGCACCCTCAACTCAAGCCGATATATCAGCAGATTTATCTACATCGGTACACAGGGTTGATCAATCGATTCCTATGAACTGCGGTACCTTATTACATTAACAACACATAGCCTTTCTCCTCTATTGTACCAAAGAATCACACTTCAACATTAACTAGCTCGCAACGGCCTCTGGCACAACAAAGCTATTGTCTATATTTCGTGTCAACACGAACACTCTGTTACCGACGCTTAGTATCAACGTGAGTTCGATAGTTTTCAACTTCATCAGCACTAGGGATCTCGTCTCCAAACGCTCCTCGCAAACCCTAACCGATTGTTCATTGTTCGAGATCCACCGAATCGCGTACTTCTCTTTTGAATGCTTTCGCCTTTTGTTCTAAACACAGAGCGATCTAAAAACAGCTACCACAATCCTACAATCAAACCGGAAAGCACCAACCAAAGGACAGAGCTCATCAAATATGCTTTTTTCACCCTTTTGTAAATCCAGACGAACATTTGACCGGAGCTATAAGATTCAATTGAGTCACACTGGCAATGTCTGCCTATACAAAATCACTGTTGATCGAGTGCTAAATCGATTACTGAATGAAGTTCTCGAGTGACTAATGGAGTCGTTCAGTTTTCTGCCTTCGGAACCGCACTAATCATCACCGTGAACACACGGGGTCAGCGATGTCCTATTTTTCTTAGCGGCTATGGCTTGGCGCCCGTCCGATCAAGCGATCGTTCGTTCGTTCGTTTGTGCTCTAAGTCCGTTGTTCTGTTCTCTCAGTCTTTGTCTTCGTCTTCGGAAATGCTTTCCCAGGGCTCCATCAGACGTTTATGTGTTCTCTCTCTATATTAGACTGGTTATTGTCTTACTTGTTCTCGTATCCCTTTCAGCGCTGATAATATTCTTGCTAGCGCCGGTGCTACGACTACCGGTGACCAAGGAACGTCGATGTCCCTGAAGCTGTCTGTATTGCGCCAATATGATATTGTTAGTATCGGCGTTTACGCTAGTCGTCCTTATCATAACCTGCGTGACTTGAGTTAGCCTACCCTGGTCGTCCGTTTCCCACTCGAGTCCATCCCCTACCCACCGCCCCGCACTTCAGTTGTTGCGGCGGAGCTGTCGCCCCACACGTGACCCAGCTAACGGCTGCGGCAGTTTTAGCAAATCGTCTATAACGATGCTGCCAGCATTTGAAGTGTTGTTGCTGCTGATGTAAATAACGCTGATGCCAAGCGTCTGCCAATAACCGGCGGAAAATACGGCAAAGACATCGTCGCGCAAACAGCTGAACAGGCCATCTGCACCGATGGCGTTCCGACAGCGACAAAAGCGGCGTCAACAGCATTGCCTGCGCGTGCTGCAATGGTTGCTGGTAAAAATGCCGGCGGTGTATAGCTTTTTTAGCGAGTTTTTTTTTCTAGGCGGTACGTGCAGGCAGCTGTCTGCGAGCAGGCTGCACGTACCGCCAGCCTGGTATCGCCATCGTATCTGACGCAAGCCAGAAATTCGTAACCTTTATAACGACCGGTCCCGCAGTTTAGCTGGCACTAGTACTATTATTACGGCAGCTGTTACGCAGACATTCTGTTACGTACTCGGTTCTGAAAAGGGTGCGAGATTGTAATTAAGCTGACGTATAAGGCTGGAATCTCGTTTTTGAAGAAACATGCATTGCCTATGTATTTCGTGTCAGCTGGATATTAAAAGATGTAGTAATATCGTTGGCAGTTCAACGTTACAGGGTTTACGGTCTTACAATACATGGGAGGTGAATATTGTTGTGATATCTGGGCTTTACCTATATAATTGTCGCTTTATCGGCGATTGGCGCAACTCCAAATCAGTTTGTCGATAATTCGCAGCATGCAGTAGAGTCTATTGCAATGGGTTCTTGTAAAATTTGCAACATTATACGTCGTCGAGAAATGTCGTCACTTCTCTCAGCCAGTCGAGCCTATATTTCTGTATTCCTGATATAGGCATTCGTCAATAACTGATGGGTTCATGACTCGATGTCTCACCTCAAACCGAACGCTCTTACGGCACTTCAACTCCTGAGATGGTCTATTAGCTTTTTTAGTCACAATAGATTTAATAGCCAGTAGTTTGATTACCTTAAATTAACGTAGGCTCTATTTTACATCTGTCTTCGCCGCCTTACACGACCTTAAAGATGCGTTCTCTCTGATTACATATTCAATGTAAGCCTGGTAACATTTCACGTTATAATTTTCCTTCACTCAGAAGTCGTATTTACAAAACTGTGCGAACGAATAATTGACGGTATCCGGTGTTACTGCTGCTGAAAAAAAACAAGCGAGGGCATGAACGTGACGTATGTGCATAGCTGGTCAGATTACGCTTCTTTCAAGCTCACGTTTTTTTGAGATTTTACGTTCAGTTCAGGAAAATCAAAGTCTGTAGCGTCCTCATTATAAGACTGACCTCCGGAGTGGTTAGTGCCAAAAGGGATCGCGTTCAACAGAATTTCTTGATAATGAGACCCTCGCTGATTGACTGGACTCAAGCGTAACGATATCGACGCTGAGCGTAATAAATACGCCTTGACGCAATAGACGCGAAACAGCGTGCGCAATTTCCCCTTCGCATAAGTACTCGATTAAAGATCGCGGATATACACGTATACGCAAATGAGACCATCTAGAATTTTGTATCTCAGCTTACGTATGTCTTATGCGTTATGTAATGAAAACAAGTATCTTATCTAATAATAGTCGTACAACAAATTCGAAGTCGATTCCATCCACCAGGCTGGATTGTCCTACAATTTATCATTAATTATTATGTAAAATTTTTCAATCCGCTCCTTCCAAATAGATCACGTTCAAACTCGATTCACGGCACAATTTGTTTGTCTCATCGTTAATTGTTACCATTTATCTAACAGTGTAATATAGATACATAAATACCTGAAACAAAAAGTTTCGCAACATATCACAGGACACATTACTTTTAGAGATATTTATTATTATATATATTATTAGAAATCCGCTCTAGCTCTGTGTCGGCAAAGATATTTTTAATTTAGACCCCTTCTCTCCGGATGCTTCTGCCCTTGCAACTGATCGTGTTCTCAGAAAATCCTCAGCCAAATAGTTATCGGCGATTTCTTCTGGGAGAGGACAATGTCTCCGCAAATATCGGATCGGTATTTTTCCAGTTACGTTGTCCCCGGACACCAGCATCAATTTCACCTGCTGATTGAAGCCTGTGATTCAGCAAACTGTCATCCCGTCTGTGATCACTGCCGATAAGTTCATTTGTCGCCATATATACATACATACATACATACATATATATACTGGTTGTGTCTTTGTTCAAATGCTTGCCGGCTCCGTTAAAGTCGCTAATCTTCGCTCAGAATCACGGGCAGGGGAACAGATGGAAAAAAAAATCTCTCATAATTTTAGATCATCATCGACCAACCACCTCTGCGGTGGACTTCGCGTACCGCGCATCTTCAATAGTGCAAATGCTGTACTGCAAAGGTGCAACAAACGCACTTAAAGAAACTAAATAACGTAGCACAAGAACGCTGAGTAGAGATTGTAGTACTTGTCCCATTGCTGATTCACTGTTCCGTTATGGCAGACTGCGGAACGGTAGCTGGCGCCGTCGTTGTTCCGACCGTCGTTGTGATTAATGCTACCGTCATCATTACTGTTCTAGCTATTAGTCCTATTTTCGGCCTCTGTTTGTTAAGCGATTAGCGAGCTCAGGCCAAATAACGTCTCCGATAAGAAGGACATCACTAGCAACAGAAGCGGCAGCTTCTATCATCGCAGATAACGCAACTCTGAGAATCATCGAACAGGATGCTATTCTCCTTGAAATACCGACGAGTTTTTTACATTTGCTCCTTCTATCTTTTCCTTTGCGACTCACTGACTCACTCACTCACTCACTCATTACTCTTCAAGCCTCAAGCTAGGATGTCAACAAGCGTCGAACTACGAATCCTGGTGGAGTTCTCGTTGCACATGTCTACGTATGATGCATATACATACATATGTGTATGCACCTAGAAATACACGATGCACATGAGAAAAAGGATCAGTGTAGCTGCTCAGCAGTAGGTTAAAAATGAAGGCACAAAAATTTTAATGTAGCAGCGTAAGTATCCGATAGTATAAAATTAAATGTGGAGCAGTGCTCGATAGACCGGCACACAACTACCCGCACCCACGCAGATAAATAAGGGTCCTAAGGTGGAAAAGTACTAGTTAAAGTAACGTTAGTAACAAACGTTTGCAATCAATCTGTCTGTGCTCAGGCATCAAATCGTTGTTTATTGAACCTGTGTAGTAATGTTTATGTATATTACGACTGCTTAATTGCGTTTTTCA